AGGAGCGTCGTGAGCGTCATGCAAGAGTTGTGAACGGAGTCCGTCGTCCTTGGGTATGCAGAGGCGAGGGCCTTGTCCAGCGTTGATCCAGAGTAGACCATCCACCACGAAGTAACGATCCGAGGTAGAGGCATCCTTATACTGATGCACGAGGGGACCTAGAATTGGATCGTGTAGGTAGCAACTGGCTAGTTGTTTTCGAATGCCATGGTCTAGATTGATATCCAAGGAGTTCAAAGTAGTAGGTGTAGCCTCCAAGTCCTTGAGGTCCGGTCTTCGTGAAAGAGCATCAGGGACGACGTTATCTTTACCAGGTTTATACTTGAATACGAAATCATACTCTTGAAGCAACTCCATCCATCTTGCTTGTCTGCGAGTCAAGTTCGACTGGCTAGGAAAATGTTGTAGAGTGGCATGGTCGGTATAAACGACAAAGTGAGAACCATCAAGGTAGTATCGCCATGTCTTCAGAGCATGCACCACAGCCAGCAGTTCTTGTTCGTGTGTAGGATAGTTGCGTTCCGCTGGGTTGAGCTTGCGTGAAGTAAAAGCTACTGGTCGTGATTCACCATTTTGGTCCGTCTGGAACAGGACAGCACCAATTGCAAAGCCTGAAGCGTCTGTTTCGACTGCTGTAGAGAGGGCAGGATCGAATATCCTAAGAACTGGTGCTGAGCTCACTGCTCTTTTCAAAGTCTCAAAGGCGTCTTGTTGAGATTTTCCCCAGTGGAATTCCTTATTGGAGCCTAACAATTGTGTGAGGGGAAGAGCAATATCAGCGTAATGAGAAATGTACTGATGGTAAAAATTAGTCAAACCAAGGAATTGCATCACATGTCGTTGGGTTGTTGGTACTGGCCATTCCCTTATTGCCTTGACAAGTCCGCCATTCGTCTTGAGTCCATCCTTGGAGATGACATGGCCTAGGAACTCAGTCTCTTCCTGCATGAAGGAACACTTGGATAATTTATAATAAAGCCCAGCTTGACGCAAGAGGGAGAGTACTTGTCGGATGTGCTCTAAGTGATCTTTCTCGTTATCGGAGTAAATTAAAATATCATCGAGATACACAACAACACATTTATCAAGAAGTGGATCAAGTACGTTACGCATCATAGTCGAGAACGCTGCAGGTGCATTTGTAAGACCGAAAGGTACGACGTTAAACTCGTAGTGGCCATAGCGAGTTCGGAACGCGGTCTTGTGTTTATCATCAGGATGGACACGCATTTGATGATAGCCCGAGAGTAGATCCAGCTTGGTAAAACATTTAGCTGTTCTGAATCTGTCGATCAATTCATCGATCCGTGGTAAGGGGTACCTGTTTTTCTTTGTGATCTTGTTCAGGCCCCGATAATCAACACACATTCGAAGCGAGCCATCCTTTTTCTTCACAAAGAGGACTGGAGCACCGTATGGTGAGGTGCTCGGTGAGATTAATCCTTTTTGTAAAAGATCAGTTAGCTGCTTCTTCAGTTCATCAAGCTCAGCGATCGACAATCTGATGACAGGTCGGACAGGTGGGTCAGCATAAGGGTCAGTCTCTATACGCATGCTATCACCTCTGTCAGGGGGAAGGCCATCGGGAAGCGTTGTAGGAAAGACATCAGGGAATTCGACTTGAACGATTTGCTTGATAGAGTCCGGTAGTTCAGAACTACTGCTAGAGACAGGTACTGGAACTCGAACTTGGGCGAGGAATACAGAGGCATCAGGTTCCGAGGCAACGGTAAGGAAGTTAAGAGCAGATATGACGGAAGATCGCTGTCTAGGCTCCCTGTCGATGCCAGTGCAAGCCCACAAGACCGGGGTACCTTGGTATTCAAAATGCAGATCATTTGTTCGCCAATTGATGCGAGGGTTGATATCCGTCAGCCATGGTTTACCCAAAATTAGGTCGTATTTGGATAGAGGATAAACAATGGCGTTGATTTTATCCTGATACGCGTTGCGGGCGAGGGTGAACGTGGCTGTGTGCTGAGCAATTGTCTCGGTACCGTTGGGAAGAATGACAGGAATGGGTCTACCCTCAATTAGCGGAACATGTGTGTTCTCGCAGAAAGAGGAACTTATGACATTGCCTTCGGCCCCTCCATCTACAAGAATGCGCGCAGGTCGACCATTCACTGCTCCAATGAAAGTAAGGAGTCGGCGAGAGTTTTTATGTTTGTCATAGGTAAGGCTGAAGGATTGAAGGCGAATTTCGTTACGACAATGGGAGTGGCGATTGGATGAACTAGGGGTAGATGAATGAGTGGAAGTGAGTGAAGTGGAAACAGTGAAAGGATCAGTGGAGGGGAAAATAGGGTCGGAGAGGGGATTGTTTTTTAGCAATGAGGAATGAGTAGGGGAATGGGGATCAGGATGAGGTGAATACTTAGAGAGTAGATGTAAGGAAGTAGATGCAGTGGGAGCAATAGAGTGATCAGAAAGGGGCATGGATGTTATATTTGTGCACAAAGGATTTTTATTTGTAGTCATCAACTGTAACTGACCATGCCCTCTATTATCCAGGGCTTGAAGGCTGGGGCTAGAGGGGGCGAGGCAGGCCTGGTTTACTGCTCGCCCTCCTCTTTTCCCGACTCAGAAAGCGTATGGTCATTGTTTTCTATATTAAAGACAGAGGTGCGTTGGCATTGTTCGGCTCTATGACCTCGGTTCCGGCATCTGAAACAACGCCCCTCACGAACGCAACGTTCTCGTTCAGCTGCTGTGAGCTTGGGTAGCGAGCTTGGCTTGGAGTGGTTTCTGTTTGGTCGTTGCTGATGGAGAGAGGTGTACAGGTTGGCAACCAACATTCTCATGTTATCGAGATCCATTGGTGTAGGGCCAGAATTATTCTCATGATGGGGTGATAAGGCGTTCGGGGCAGCGGATACAGGGGTGGCATCGATGGGATGTAGAATACTGTGGACAATGGTCGCCTGCTCAATGGCATCGTCCAACGTCTCTGGCTGTCTAAGTCTCACCTGCTTGCTTGTTTCAGGCTCAAGGCCTAGCATGTATTTTTGCAAAGCAGAGTCTTTGTCGAGATTTGTAGCCAGACGTAGGTGGCTTCTAAACTTGCTCGTATATTCTGCCACACTCATCCTTCCTTGGCGAAGTTTATCCAACGCTCGGCGAGCTGCATTCGCAGAATCTGGAGGGGTGAACTGACGGAGGAATGCTTTACGGAAGTCAGCCCAAGGTGTATCGAGATTCAACCCGGAATCTCTCCACCATGCCTTGGCTTCGCCATTGAGACTGAGGACAGCGTATCGAACCCATTTGGATGGCGTGAGTGTGACAATAGTGTAATACTCCTCCAGGCTGTCGACAAAGTTTAAGGCTGCAACAGCGTTAATAGCTCCTTCGTAAGGCGTAGGCTTCTGTGGCTTTAGGACCGTGGCGAGGGTTCTGGCTAGGTCATTCTCAGCGGCTTCGTTGGCTTTGGCAGTAGAGAGGGCCTGATTAAAAGCAGTAGCTATGGCTTCGCGAATGTTCAGAGGAAGATCGATGGACGAAAGGGCGTTATTCAAGTGTTCCATGGCGAGGGGTGAAATTCAATGGTAATTGTAGTTCTCTGGGTGTGGTCGTGGTTTCCTTTGCTACCAATGCAAAAGTCAAGGTAGTGTTCTAGGGGGATCTAAGGGTGCAATAAAGGTATCTTTATTCAGGGGGAACTATGCTACAGAACTAGATAGAAAAGTAGACCTATTTATACTAGTTAATGTCCTGTTGCAAGGAATGCTCTAGAAATATGGGCGAAATACTATGTTGCACAAAATTATTATAGTGATTTCGCTTGCACATATCCTGGTTCGATTCGAATGGTTCGAATGGTTCGAATGACGCGGATTATTCGAATAGTTCGAGTGTCGAATGGCTCGAATGATTCGAATAGGAGAGTGGTGGTTTGAATTGCGAAGTGGTATGAGTGATTTAGTTCATAGCCCTGGTTCAGAGTTGTATTGTAAAAAGTTTTATGATTTGCTAGTTTTGAGAAATACTTATACTCTTATTAGAAAACTATATAAGTCTCAATCAAGGCATCTCTTTCAACCAGTGCTCCTATTCGATTCGAATGGTTCGAATGTCGAATGGTTCGAATAGCATTCGAATCCTGATATCTATTCGAATTCGAATCGAAGTTGAACTTACCTTATTCGAATCGAATTCGATATCAGGCAAATTCGATTCGAATGGTTCGAATAGGAGCACTGCCTCGAACTTGTCGGGTTGGGGGTACTTGAAAGCGGGGGTCATCACAGGGTTGTCGGTAGTGAGCGTCATGGAATCAAGGATTAGGGCTAAATCTTCCACAGAGAGCAGGTTGAAAGTAAAATCGAGGAGGTAGGGTGGTGCGGCAGGGGACAGGGGGACAGGGAAACCAGGGTCAGGGAGGCAGGGGACAGGGATGAAGGTCGGGGATCAGAGTAGCTTTGCTACCATGTAATAATTAAGAGAGACAAAAGATGATTTTATTATAATTATTAAAACAAGCCTTTTTATAGGCTTAAGGCTATATACTGTCACATCCTAGGATCCATTCCTCGTCGGAGCCTAGGCAGAGTCGTTTCCCGATTCGGCTTCAACAACCGAAGCATGGATGGTTTTCTTGGTAGGGCAATTCAGGGCAATATGGTTAGCGCCACCACAGTACAGGCAAAGACCCATATCTCTGCGGCGCTTCTTTTCTTCGGGTGTGAGGCGCCGAGCGCGCATAGCATCTACATCCATTGCCATAGATGGAGCTGAGGAGGAGGTTGTTGTAGCAGAAGTAGTCGCTGGGGGAGGGCGACGAGCAGGTTGATGTTGAGACTTGAAGGAATCAAAACGAGGTCGCTGACGACGATGCGAGGACAGATTTCTATACGCATCGATCGCAGCGGTCTGTACCTCGTGCACAGTCTTAAACTTGGACCATTGGGGTAACAGGAGGCCATGGATTTCGCTCGACAGGCCTTTCTTGAAGCGAGCTTTGAGAGCTCAGTCATTCCAACCACTGCGGGCAACAAGGCGGCGGAACTCTGTCACGTACTCGATCATGGAACCTGACTGGCGGATACAGGATAGCTGGTGCTCGACGTCTTCTTGTTCAAGATGATCACCAAAGAATTCTTCAAGGGTTTCGATGAATACCTCATACGAAGTCAAGACACCAGAGACATCCTCAAGTTCTCCATTGATGTATGGAGCGAAGTGCCGAGATGTGTCGCCATCTAGTCACTGGAGGGAATAATTGATTTTATCCTCATCGCTGGACAAGGCATCGGGGAAGCGGGCAAAAACAACTTGGAGGCGGGCACGGAAGTCGGAGAGAGACAGCTCCTCACTGTTGCCCTTGAATTTAGAGGCACTATAGTTTAGAAATGTTTCATCGTCGATTAATCCAAGTTGATGTTGTTTTCTGATATGTTGGAATCGATCAATGTGGCTTGAGACAACATCAGCATACTTAAGGAGTTCTCCCTCAGCTTCTGTGATGAGGTCATAAGCAACCGCATTGTCGAGTTGTGTAGGATTCATAGTGTGTGTAGTAACTAAAGTTGGGTGTCAGAATGTCAATTAAGAATGGATCTCATCGTTGCACCAGTGCTGATTTGTATACATGGATTACACTAGCTTTACCTTTTGTTCTTTCCGCAACAGTAGAAATCATGAGGGCTTGAGACTCAGTAGACTGGAGAGGTTCCTCTTCAGTCGGTTGCGGACGACCCTCTTCCTCGTCTCCGCTTCCTACATCGTCTTTATCGCCTTGTAAGGCTTCCTCGAATTCTTAAAAGTCTAAGGCCTCATGAGGCTGTGGATCATGTTGAATACGACCTTGCTCCAGCTCATGGATGACATCCTGGAAAATACTCTCATCTGTTTCTGTTGCCTTTTCTTCCCAAGGCTTCGCCTTCCTCTTTTCTTCGCGGGTCAACTTGCCCTTCATTGCTTGTTTGGCTGTCTGTGATGGGGCTTTCCAACGGCACCAATGAACCCCGCGTTTGGATCGATGTATTTCTTAACTGTCCGCAGGAAGATAACCTCTTCGAAATACTTCAGCATTTTTGTTGCGCCAACGCTGCAGTCCCCTTCATAGTTGGTCTCGCAGAACACCTATTATTTATTTATATTGTAAAAACAATCAGTCTCATCCGAGAATTTGAAAAATAAACAAACAAACAAAGAACAAAAATAAAAATTTACCAGCCAAAGTTTCAAGTACGTTCTGCACTGCTTCAATGTTTTCGAGGGACTATTGTTGGTCAGAAGAGAATGAAGGACATTGTTAGCGCAGATCTTTCTCTGTTCTTCGATTTCCTCAGCCGAATAAGACGACTGAGGATGGCTAGAAGAGCTACCTGATACTGGGTTTATCACCGTGTCTTGGGAACAGATCCGTTTGCGAGGGGTATGCTCCTCGACGATATCACGGATGTCTACAGGGCAGGCCCTTTTTTTGCCCTCGTGGATCTCCCTCCTTTTTTCTCTTCCATCCCTGATTTCCTTAGCTTTCCGTGCATACCCGCTTCTTCCTTCTTTCCCTTGGTTCACGCTAAATGTAAAGAAGGTGCCGCTTGGATCTGCATTGATGTCATGGCCGTTGCTAGAAGATGATGATGCGGTAGTATTTTTGTGAGGCATGTTGATAGGTTGGTTTGTGCTATTTGTTGAAGTTGTAGATCTACAAAGCGGATATGAGCAAGTGCTGCTGCAATGAGTAGCTACTGCAGTAGTTAATGGCAGTGATATATCACAGAAAGAAATGGAAGAGAGAAATGTAAGTGAGCATGGTTTTATATATTTAGCGGACATTATCAAAAGTAATCGCTATCTTAGTGAGCCAAACACTTGGCTTCTCTTGGACGTGCTTTTTTGCTTTCTTATGGGTAAGGAATGAGGAATCAGGGAATGAGGAATGAAGGAATGAAGAATTAGGCCTAGAGCATTAAACTGATTAGCGCGCGCTTCGCGCATCTAACAAATGAGTTTCTACTTTCCAGATCGATGTAGTGAAAAGACCTGTGCAATTTTTCTATTAATGGGCATACAGTGGAATTTGACTTAATAAACTATTACGGTAATAATTGTTTAAAAAAGGTGTTTCTACAAGTATATAAATGCATGGATGTGCTTTGATCAAGACTTGGTAGAGTTACAGTTACACGGCGGATATTATGCCTAAAGGAAATAAAGAGAGAAGGCAGCTTTTGGTACGATAATTGGATAGTAACTCCAGTAGTGGGGACAACCCATTTATAGAACTAATTCTCTTAATAAGCCCAAATGACCTCTGCGGCCTTAATTGTCGAAAAAAGCTGTTTTTGCTTCAAGTGAAGTCTCAGCTCCAAATGGGCCACAAAGAAAGTGCGTTTAATGACGTTGCTTTCGCGATTTGGGAACCACTTAAAAAAAAAAAAAAAAAAAAAAGAATCAAATCATGTATGTTTGTATGGTGTTTGAGTTCATACTTCGGAAACAAGCATGATTATGTCCAAACTAAAATATAAACTATACATTCATTCTTGCGTTTTGAATTATATGCGTTGTGTTGTATCCTTGATTATGGCTATCTATTGTTATTATTTTTTTACACATACTTATATTTATATTTAACACTAATTTTACCGGAATAAGACTAAAAAAAAAAACATTTTGTTGTCTAGGCCCATTTATCGGGATGTTATTAAAAAAAAGAAAAAGAAAAAAAGGAACATGTATACAATCAACTAAGAGTGGCCCGCGTTTAGTCATTTCCCAATGGTATAGAGCATATATATATTTTTACAGTTTATGAAAGCAGGAAGGAAACTTTAGTTTAATTAAGGTAGGAGGATCCTTCTCGTCGAATTGTGGATTAAGGTAGTTGTAGTTTAGATATAGCAGGGTAGATTCTACATATTAAATAATACATGCAATATGAAAAAAGAACCAAGACTAATCATTGAATCAAAAAACGAAAAGCCTTGATGGTCGTCCAGTAAAAAAAAAAAAAATGAAAAAAAGGATGAGTTTGACCTAGGGAAACGGCCTCCAATCTTTTTTTTTTTTTTTTTTTTTTAGAAAAAAGCATAACCAAGAACAGCGGTCAAGCCCATAGCCCAAGCGCCGACCTGGACAAAGCCAGCAGAATTATCCTGCGTGTTACTGTTGCCTCCAGTAGCGGCCTTGGCAGTGACATCAGCGGTTGCCTCAACAGAGGGGACAGCACCAGAAGTGACGGCGGGGGGAACAGCACCAGAGGTACCATTAATAGGGTTGGAGGCAGCAGAAGGGATAGTGGAGCCAGGAAGGTAGGCAGGCTTACCAACGCATACATCCATAGTGACAAACTTGTAACCCTTGGCGAGAATGGCATCAATAAGGCGCCCGGCCAAGAGATCGACAGAGAACTTATGGATCTCGTGTTCAAGCAAGATGAAAGAGTCAGTAGCAGGGTTGCCTGGGAGGATGACTGAGTTGATCTCGGTCATTGACTTCACAGCAGCGGTTTCAGGAGCCAGTGCCTTGAAGCGCCAGTCGTTGGTGTCAACGTTCCAGTGGGAGATGACCAAACCCATTGACTCCATGACTTTGGTGCAGAGTTCGCCACAGCGACCCTCAGGGGGACGCATGTAAGCAGGGCGGACACCAGCGTTTTGGAACATGATATCGGAGGTCATTTGGATTTCTTTCTTCAGCTGCTCCTCGTTCATGGTATCCATGTTGCTGTGACTGTATGAATGAGAGGCCAACATGTGGCCACCATCAAGGATCTTCTTAAGAGCACCAGCCTGTTGAGGGTTCTCTGCAACCATGGATCCACTATATATTTTTATTCGTAGAGAATGTGACAATAACAAAGGTCAGCAAAAAAAAAAAAAAAAAAAAAAAATGGCAATGATTCCTTGATGATATTTGTACTTGTATTGATTCAAGGACAATGGAAGATGAGAATGTAGATAAACTTACATGACATAGAAGGTTGCCTTGACGCCTTTTTCGGCCAAGAGCTTCAGGAGTTGGTCGTTGTAAGGACCTGGGCCATCATCGAAGGTCAGAGCAACCACACCAGGCATGACACAGGTATCAATTTTATTGGGGAGATCTGGCATGACTGCCGAGGCGACCGAGGCGAGGAAGATGGCGGAGAGAATGGAAGTGAACTTCATGATTATATGTATTGTAGTGAGAGTAAAATGGAGAAGGTGTAGGAAAGATGAAGAAAACACAGGTTAAAAGGGCTGAGACCGTTGGATGAAGTGGAGGGGGACGTGATGAGTGTATCGTTTCAAAGTAGGGGGAGAAGCAGGTGTATTTATATTTGAGAAAGTGGTAGAAAGGTCGTTTGCTGGCTGGTATATGAAAGTGAGTGGACAGAGATAAAAAAGAAACTAAATATATTATACCTATTCCAGGGGGAGCTATTGGGAGCCAGGAAAGTATAACTTGAATAAAAGTATCTATATCTCACACTCTGCTCAGAAAAAAAAAAAGAGCTGGTAAAGCCAGTTAATAAATATAGAGACGACTGATTAAAAAAAGAAAAGAAGTTATATATGTATATAGTATTATATATATATATATATGCGGTATATACCATACTTGCAGCATAGTTTAACGCGCATTTGCTTTTGCTTGCATTTCAGGCAGGTGGAATGGACATGGACTGATTGGGTTATAAAATGATCGTACTATTTCTCCGTCTATTTTAGGGTTCCTCTTTAGCTCTCACTTGGCTTGCATACCGGGAAAGGATTTTTGCTCAAGCATAACCTGTGCTCATAGGATGCACTTATCTTTGTTTTACTGTTGATTACCAGGAATCTAGATTACTCTTTATCACAAACACTTTAATCTTGCAAGTGTCCGTTGGAGTTTTATTTCAGGTACAAATGCTATTCATTAATTTGTTTAGAGAATTTGATGTTTGGGCCACTTGTTTCTTAATTCGGGGATTTTTTTTTTTTTTAAGCTGTATTATTGTCTTACGAAACCCGTGCTATACACAATTCTTTTTACACTCTAATTGGAGTATGTCATACACATGTCGCACCTTGATGTTACAATAATGGAGATCATTTGGAAATTGGTTTAATTGGATGTTTGCACAAAACTTGGATGTACCATTATGTTGCTGATAAAATGTTTTTCGTCATCATAGTATTACATACAAATACTGAAATATCTCTTTTAATAAGCAATGGCTACGGTTAGACTATCCGAGTACGAACAGAAGACTTTATATTGGCTAGAAAAGTAGGTGATATAAATGGTCGGAACAGAGGCTGTGATGCGAATGTAGAGATGAATGGGCGTAAAATTCGAGATGAATGATCAATAGCATCGGTTGTGCAACAACACACTAAATAAAAGACACATGGAGATAAAGAAAGTGCAAGGTATTTGTATGGATGTGAGATAGTGTATGTTATCGAACAATAGCAGCTGAATACTATAAAAAGATTCATCTGTGCGAAATCCCTTCACGCGATTATTTCCTGAAAGGATGCAGAAGGTCAATTATGTAAATAGCGCAACAGAAACGTTTATACGGGATGTTGCATTTTAGTGTTTTATACGACGGACCAACAGCCATGTGCGCTCATGTTGTTGTCTGTCTCTCATCTCCATCTTTCTCCACACAGGAGCTCATTCTATCCCAATCCTCCATTTTTTTTTGTGTTACTTCACCAATTCATGGCAGCAAGCTGGTCTTTGGACAATATGGACGAGAAAGGCGATAAACACTATATATTCCATAAACATCATCCCACTCTCATGTGTACTACAAAGTGTTTGCACGTACGATTGGATCGGTCATACTACGCCTTGTTTACATACTCGCCACGTAATAAAGGACAGCGGTACCATTCGAACATTCGTGTAAATTGGCCTTGGGCGTAGATGTAAGTTTTACAGAAAATATACATGGCTTATTCATTGTTTTTTTTATTTATTTTTCTGAAAAATACAAAGAGACGCCGGTGGGTACTAATATTGATCCAAAAGCCCAAATGGTCAAGTGACTAAAGATCAAGATGGGTGTAGGACCATTTGAGACGTGTATTTACAGGCAAATTAGCTGCTGTAACAGTAGGAAGCGCCGTGGTCAAGTTTACCCAGAATGACGAAAATGCAAGCGGCGCCAGAGGCTCAAGGCTCAGGGTCGAGACTTGTGCTTATTTCATTTATGCCATTAATTGCTCATTGTAGAGTTATAGGGTATCCGCGCCCTTGCCTAGAATCTGTTAAGGTTTATGCAGCGGCAAATATCTTTTCTTTAGTTGCTGCGTTCCATCTTTGACTAATATATTCTTTTTTTTCATTTTTTTCATGTGTGTTAAATGTTTACCTGCTTTTTTTTCGAGGGTATTGATTTTGGCTCCCTCTTTTTTTCGATTCTGTATTGGATATCCCCTGTTATTGTGATCACCGCTCTCCTCCAATACGATCATCATTTTTTACTGTTGGTCCAATAGCCTTTCTCTCACTTCCACAGGCATCGTTTGTTTATATGAACACGGCTCTCTTTCTGCATGTGCTTTCATTTTTTTTATTTTTTTTATTTTTTCTCACTCTTGCTCTTCGATAAACTGAGATGTAAAAAAAAAAAGAAAAAGAAAAAAAAAAAAAAAAGCTGCTGTTCTATTTGTTGATGTTTTTGAATGCTAGACGTGTTTGGTCTGTTTCTGGTGGTTTACAGGCTTTTTTTTTTCTTTGTTTGTGTTCTTGATGGTTTGCATGTTTGCTTGGGTGTCTGTGTCTGTGTGTCTGTGAGTTTGACCATCTGACCAGCTTTTTAATTTTCATGATGAAAATGATAATTTGAAGAGAGATACAATAAAAATGTTTTATTTATATTTTATGATACATAATATATATAATATTGGACAATACAATTCTTATTCAAAGCCACAATTGATCAAAGCCATCTTTGGAAGTTATTCTAAAATGTAACGAATGAATTGTGTCAGTGACCCCAAATGAACCGGTTTTATTTCATATCGATTTTTTCTAAACCTCTGTTCCTTTTTTTTTTTTATTTCTTCACCCCCCCACAAATCCAATCTGTGTTTGAAAAAAAAAAAAGTGCGGCTATTGCATATTAACACAAACACAATTACACAAACTCACACAACATGCGCTTACCTTCACTCTCCTTTCCCATCTCATCCTCATATTTCTCACCCACGTTTTTTTTTTTCCGTTCCACGGTTCTCACTTCTTTTTTATTCTTTTCTCTTTCTCTTTTTATCTTTTTCATCTCATCTTCGCTGGGACATTCGTACTTTTTTCATTGTCCTTGTCTCATTCCATTGGTTTCATCCATCATTCACACACATTCTTCACATTCTTAGTTGCATTGTCTTATTTTCCTTCTCCATAACTACGCCTTCCCTTCTCATACTCCAATATCCAACAACAGTATTAAATACATATTCTTCTTCGACATCACAATGGGGAATGTATCAAGCGCTGACCATGACAAAGTCAATGAACTACTTACTAGAAGAGCAAGGAAGAAGATCGATCGGAATAAAAGGTCGCAACATCATCAGCAGCAACAACAGCAACAACAACAACAACAACAGCAACACCAACCGTATCGAAATTCAGGGGGAGCTGCCAACGGTGCCCATAGCCCCAGCAATATGAATGGTATCCAAGGTACTTTCATGCAACGTCAGAAATCTGGTTCTCGGTCTCAGCATTTGCCCCATCCGCTCGACCAGGCAGAGTTTTATACCTTGGCCTCCAGCACCTCACTTACTGCCACAAACCGTGCTGCAGACCAACCACCCCACAGCCCTGCATCGCCTTCTTTCTCCATCCCTTCCTCGGCCACAACTCCCACGTCTGCTAGTTACCAAGGTGACCTGCCATATCCCACCACTCGATATGATGGTGAAACAATCTCCGCCACCGCCTCACCAACTTCACAACGGCATCCATCTTATTCCAATCCGTCCCTGAATCAACATCACTCTACGCCGATCATCATCTCTCCACAGCGCCATAATTATACGAGTACTAGCAATGATGATAACCAACCCGTCAAAAGTTCTGCTTCCACAAATATGCCCTCTAGACGTGGCTCGGAACACCATCAACATCATCAGCAGCAACAGCAGCAGCCCACATCTGACTTGCACCTACTTGGCACCTCACCCGAGGCAAAGGATTGGCTTAAGCAAAAGCCGACCCGATCTTCGGCTCATATGATCCATCAGTACAACTTTCAGAGCCACCCATATTACCAGCAACCTGGGTCTATTGCCGTCAAAATTGTTAACAACACCTGTCGCAACATGAGTGACTATCCTAACGTACCATCAATACCTAGTCCGGGTACGCGACTATTGGGTAATGGTGTATGCCAAACCCCAACAACAACGTTACTGAATGGCAGTAGTTATCAGAGGAGCAAGAGTATCTCAGCTGTATCGAATAACGAAAACAGTACCTTAGCAGTTAACGGTTCCCGAACATATGTATCGGCGCCCATCCCTAGCTCGCGGTCAAGGGGAATGAGCCAACCTGAGACAATGTCCCCAAGTCAACTTGGGCCCCAGAATGATTCATCGAACGGTCTCTTGCACGCTCAGGGTGTATCATCTCACAAGACTCTTCAGGAACCACGCGTGGGTAAACTTGTCATGTCTCGATCCAAATTGGCTTCACCCCTAGCTACATCGGTCTCTCCAGTGACTACTAGCAATTTAATGATACCATCGCCTCTGGGCTCACCTCTAGAGACATCTTCACCCAACGGTTATTTAACCTCTGAGACAGACAGCTATGCCTCATCAACCCCTTTGGTATCACGGCAGCGTCGACTAAGCTCAACTCTATCCTCTCTCCGATCCTTAATCGGCAATCATCCACAAGGACTTTCATTGATCGATTCATTGGAAGAGGAAGAAGATGACGACTTGGAATCACTTTCTGAAACTGAGACGGGAGATTCTGAGACGGATCTCGTGCAACGAACACAGTCCTTGACTACTGTCGACACCCCCGTCATCGCCGAGCCTACATCCGATAGCTCAGTAACTCCACCAAGTCAAGAGAAGCGGAATGTCCGCAAGAGACCTCCTCCTCGACTTGAATGGATGGCAGACAGAAGACGATTCAGTGTCTCTAGTCTTTCAACTATCAATCGAGATATTCAGGACAGGTACATATCATACAGCATTTGATTTTTTTAAACTTTTTTTTTTTTTTTTTTTTTTTTCTTCTTTGGGGCGTATGGCATGATAATTGGGATTGATGACTAAAGTTTTATTGAATGTTGTACACCTTCTTGGTTTTTATTTTATTTTATTTTATATACTTTATTTCCTTCAGCCAAAAAGGGCAGCATGCATTATGGAAGTATATTGGTGGCGGTAATTCACATGCGCCTCTTCGATTTGATATCGATCGCATTCTGGATTCTGGCTGTGGCCTGGGAGAATGGACTATGGTAAGCTGGGTCTCAATGTTGGTAATGGGGCGAGGATTTCTTTTGCCTACCATTTTTTTTTTTTTTTTTTTTTTTTTGAACAGCAAAGAAAAGGGCTCACATCCCACAAATATTATATATATACCATTTATCCCACACCGACACGTGGCTACGATGTGTGTTTACTCCACACTAGTTCGCTGCAGAAAGGACGGGGGAGACATGAGACAAGGAAAGATTATCAATTTCATGTGTAACGGTCATGGTCTGACTTGATGCTTTTGTGCCTTTGTTAATTTTTTCACAGGAAATGGCCAAGGAGTTTCCTAACGCAACCGTCTATGGAATCGATATCAACCCAGAGTTGTTTCCTAGTGCACAGCAACCTGTTCCAAGTAACTGTCTTTTCACCCAATCGAATCTCCTTACCCGCCTCTCGTTTCCAAACAAATACTTTGACTTTGTTTACCAACGTTTCCTATACCTTGGACTGACAGTTGACGACTGGCCAGTAGCGCTTAAGGAACTAAAGCGGGTAATGAAGCCCGGGGGCTATATCGAGCTTTTTGAACCCTGTATGAGAGTCCATCGAGCAGGAGCCCGGACGCGAGAAGTGATGCGGTGGTGCTCACGTTTGTTACAGGAGGAGCGCGGATTAGACTTTGACTTTGCAGGAGAAAAGATGAAGCGACTTTGTGAGTCAGAGGAGATTGGTTTCCAGAATGTGCGACTGGAACGCCTCTCGATCCCAGTGGGTGGCTGGGGAGGACGTGTTGGTCAAGCAATGGCAGAGAATATGGTACTGATTTTTCAAAACTTGCAATCAGCTTTAATGCCTGACGATACGACGCAAACACCGAACGGACCCGCACAAAAGGCATTTGACAATATGGTCCAGAGTTGGGTCCGAGAATGCGAAGAAAATAAGTCGTACATTGATTATTATATCCTTGTTGGTCAACGACCCATGGAATAATGTTTTGTAAGCAGTGGCTTGCTTGAGAGAGTAATGTAGATTTTTTTTTTTTTTTTTTTTTTTTTACACTTGTAAATATATTATTAAAACGCGAGAAACTTCTCGCAGTGCATTTGCGCGCATGTTCTGTCTCCAATATTTTAAACGACACATAATTATTTGATGAGCATTGACCATGTTCGATCATGAATGTTTTATTCTTTTATTCATCTCTTCCTTGTATTTTATCAATTAAAAAAAAAAAAAAAAAAAAAAATACAGACTGCCCAGTTAGTGCTCAATAGAAATTGTAGTAAGTAACAAGGTTACACCACAAGGTCCTCGATAAAAAACAACAACCAAATGTGCATAATCATTGATTCGCATCAAGCCTTGTTACACATTATATTCTCTGTTTATGCTTTTTTTCTTCCAGCACTTCCTCCTTTGAAGGAAAATTCAAATCAACAAGATCATAAAAAAAAATAAAAAGAAAAAGAAAAGAAAAGTTTTCTAAAACTTGTTTTGTGTATGGATGAGATATCTTCGATATCGATAAAATCATCTTGCAAAAAAAAAAAAAAAAAAAAAAGATACTTAATGAGAAAAAACAGTTTTTTATTTTATTTTATTTTTTTTATTGCTTCTTTGTTGTTGTTTTTGTTGATGGGAGTTTTGAAGAGTATGATGACTATGCTCTCATATTTGCCATCTGACCCTGCTTCTAGACTATTTTCAAGTGTTAAAGGAAAATAGCAACAACAACAACCATCGTTATTCCTCTGGGTGAGCAAACCGATGGGAGCAAAAGAAGAAAAGAGACAAAGAGAATGATGACAAAAAAAAAAAAAAAAAGAGAGAGAGAGAAAAGAAAATATAGATCGGTCACAAGATAAAAAGGAAAGAGAGCGCTTCAAAGACTTTGAAGAGTTACAGGGAAAAGAAGCGCCCCAACTTTCTTTCTTTTAAGAAGAGAAGTGTTGCTTTGAAATGACAATGACGAAATAAGGTGGTGAGAATTGTTTGCAACAACAACAACAATAAAAAAAAGATCTTATCAGTGAAAAGTTGGGTACACAAAAGTGGCGCCAGTATTTGAGCGTTTCCTTTATTTTATTTTATACTATTTTGTATTTTAATTTATTTTGTTCCCCATATTGTCATCCCTATTTACGTTGTGCAAGAAAACAGTCGATCTAGACAGAGACTTGGCAGAGCGAAGCAAGACGATCAAAAACATATTCAGCCCAAGCTATGTCTCAATAGAATAGCATGCATCCTTCCCAAAAGTTGCTGTATACATAAAAGATGAGTATATTTATTTAACAGTTGTGGCAAAAAAGAGAAGAGAAAAAAGAGGGCAGTAAAAATGTATAGAGATGGTCAAGCATGCACTAAGTCAGATAATACAAAGAATTGAATGACCGATGTTGATAATTGAAATAGTGAGTGGGCTCTGCGTCTGAGATTTGTGCGATGTTTGATAAGATTTGTTATCTGCTGCCAGTCAGAAGCCGCATCGCCCTTTTTTTCATTTTTTTTTTTTTTTTTTTTTTTTGGTCTCATGCTCTCCCAGTTCACACACACACAAAAAAAAAAACGTTATCTCTCTCTTTTTTCTTCCTCTTTTCTTCTTTTCCTCCACATTCTACTTTCTTCTTCTCTTCCCTTCCTCACCTCCTCCCTCAATAACTTCCCTCTTTCGAGCCATTGCTCCTCTTCTAGATTATATCCTCGCTCTCTATCTAGCTTCTCCTTCTTTGTCATCCTTGGTTATCGTCCAACCTCACTCTTCCCCATCCTCACGTACATATAACTTGTATCTTCCCTCCATCCACTCACCCATTCAGATATTTCTATCCTTCCAGACATGATGCAATACCCCGTTGCTTTACAGACATCTCATTTGTCCTCAGCTCCTGCCTCACCAGAGCCACACACACCCATTCCCGATAATGAGCCTAAAGTGATCAAGATTACCAACTGCAAGATCCTCAGGGACCACAAGATTATTGAGAACGATGCCGTCTGGATTCAGGGCGGAAAGATCATCGACCCCCACAAGTTCTTTTGGTACCAGAAGCGTCTACCTGACCAAGTCCTGGATGCTAAGGGTTTGCTTGTTGTCCCTGGTTTCATCGAAGCACAGATTAACGGTAAGAGACAAAGAGAATGAAAGAAAAAAAATAGAGCGAAAAAGAGGGAGGGTAATCGAGACAAGTGGATTCGACTTCTGTTTCTTTTCTTTGTATTTGTTATTCCCCATCTCTTCAACATTCGAGAGCAAATGATGCATGCTTTGAATCATTTCGTTTTTTTTTTTTTTTTTTTTTTTTTGTTTATGGAAAAAAGAGTACATCCGTTTGGAAAAGTATTTAATGTTACACACTTTGCACACTTTTATGATTCATTTAAGATCCTATGATCCTTTGATCCTATGATAAACAATAAGCCCACCTTTTATCGGCCCCTTCAGGACTTATAACGATAGTGTCAGCAACAACAATACAGCTGCTTCGATGCTGGTTTTTATACAGTATGAAGGGAGTCTATGGGTATGAGAGGTTAGCAACAAGGGCTGATCAGATTCATTGTTTTATTGTCTTGATTTTGATTTGTTGTGATTCCTTGAATGATGTCAGTTGCCTTTTTTTTTTTTTTTTTTTTTTTTTTTTTTGGTGCGCCCATCTGTTGTCTCTGACTTCAAAATAATTCCAAATGAAAAGCACGGCGGAAGAACGAGAATGGAAAAGTTCCTCTTCATATTTCTTTATCTTGTTTATCCTGTTAACATCCATGAGGATGAATCATACGGCGGGAAGGGTGGAAGTTGGGCCTGGTACTTTCAATTAGCCTTTTGTGACCCATGGACAGAAAAGATTTTTGACTGACCTTTTTTTTTTTTATGATTTCATAGGTGCCTTCGGTGTTGACTTTTCTGTTCCTTCTGACTATGATACCTATGAGAAGGATCTGTTGAAGGTCAATCGAGGCCTTCTCAAGTATGGAACGACCTCTTACTGCCCTACCATTGTCTCGTCTTCCGCATCAGTATATCACAAGGTAATAAAAAACGTTGTGATACAGTACTAGACATGTGGACACAGAGACAAAAAGGGGATCTATTAAATAGTATACTAACCTCCTTCCCCAAAAAAAAAAAAAAAAAAAAAAAAAACTTGAATTGTTTAGGTTTTGTCTCACTTGAAGCCAAGAGCTGGGTCCGCCAAGACCGGTGCCACTATGCTTGGTGCTCATGTTGAGGGACCTTTCATCAATGAGGCCCGTATTGGTGCCCATGAACTGAAGGTTTTGCAAGCTTCTGCAAAGAACGGTTATAAAGACTTCAAGGACGTATACGGCCTTGAAGGCGAAACCCCTGAGGAACAATATAAACTTACTCAGGAGAATCAGAGCTCGGTTAAGATCATCACTTGTGCTCCAGAGTTGGATGGTGTCATGGATACCATTCCTGACCTTGTCCGCGCTGGTATCACTGTCTCTGTTGGTAATTTTTTATCCCGGTGTTGTTCAATATCTTGTAAGGTACTCTTTTTATTTCTTTCAACTGACACCACCTTTTTAAATTTCCCAACATTTAAAAAAAAAATAGGACATTCAATGGCCAACATTTCTCAAGCAGAGGAAGCTGTTGAAAAAGGAGCAACGTTCATCACCCACTTGTTCAATGCCATGCCACAGTTCCATCACCGTGATCCCGGTGTTATTGGTTTGTTGGGCTCACGTTTTGATCTTCCACGCCCTTATTATGGATTGATCTGTGATGGTATCCACGTCCACCCCAACTCTGCCAAGATTGCATATGACTCGCATCCAGAGGGTGTGATCCTAGTTACGGACGCCATGTCCGCTATGGGCCTTGCTCCTGGTAACTACCAACTTGGTAACATGAATGTCACCAAGGAGGAGGATCGTGTTTATATCGAAGGTACAGATACACTTGCAGGAAGTGTCATCACTTTGGACGCCTGTATCCGCAACTTTATCCAGTTCACATCCTGTACTCTGATCGAGGCTCTCGAAGCCGTCACATTGCATCCAGCAGTACTCTTGGGAATCCAAGAGACCAAGGGTGTCATCAAGCCTGGTGCTGATGCCGATTTGGTCTTCTTGAGCGATGACTTGTATGTAAAACGTGTCTTTGTCGCTGGCGAAGAGGTCGACCTGGATGCAATTGACGTTCAGATCACTGAGAAATTTTAATAAAGCAAAAGAAAAAAAAAAATGGAAAGAAAAAAATGAAAGTTTTGTGTGTTGCGAACCTACAAAGAATTGCTCATATACAAGGATTCACTCTTAGTCATTAACAGCACCAACATGTCTGGATAGCTAATCTTGAGCCAGTCCATGGTCATACTGGACTACTCTGGCTCCGATATTTTGGAGTTATTCGCGAAGGAAACGCACTACAAAATGCTGAATAGATTTCGAAAAAGATGGACAGCCGTCTGACTGTTGCTCATAGAAAATTAGACAAGATGTGACTGAAATGATTACAGTAGAGCGATCACAGGAAGGTCCTGAGGGGATTGCCAACACACTACATTGGATATCTGGACAATTTACATATTCTGATATTTGTTTCTTGAACCATAAAATGGGCAAATTTGCCCATTTAGCTTACATTCATATACAGTGGAATCTCGATAATTGTACACTTTTGTACAATTTTCGAATTTGCTATATTTCTCGGTTATTGATTGGCTAAGAAGCCCACAATTCATGAAAAACTATTCTAAAAATCCTCTGCTGATTCCCCTACTCCAGTTGAGTGTGGGTTTTTTAGAATACTTTTTTTTAAAAGAGTAAGGCTCTTAGCCAACCAATGGCCTAGAAATATATCAAATTTGAAATTTGTACAAAAGTGTACAATTATCGAGATTCCACTGTAAATACTAATGCAAGGAAGCATTTTTTTTAAAAAAAAAATGGAATAAATAAAGGCAAAGTCAGGTGCTTCATTATTCACTTTTTCTGCTCTCTATTTTTATGTCTTTCCTGACTCGTTATGTATTGTGCCTCTATACTATCGTAAATACGCAATGTACTTTTAATCGTGATATGACCGGCGTAGAAAACATTGGTAGAGTGTGCCTTGCGCATGTGTCCTCTCTCAAATGCAACCCGAGGAATTCAAATCCATCACAGCGGCAACACCGACTGCGGGGGGTTTCCTTAGTAGCACCTACGAAGCGCTCGCGACAACAATGGTTGGAGGGGAGATAGATCGACTCTCCTCCTCACATATTTGTAAATGAACCAATCATACTTTTCGTATTCTCGAGATATCGCAGCTATCCGTTCTTTCTGTCCATAGTTATTTAAACTGATTTCGACCTGTTATTAGATCAAGAGATACCCTTCTAGTGCATCATACTGAAAGTAGATCACCTTGAGCGATGGTTTTTAGCGAAGGCTCATTCAGTAACTGCGTCTCATATATTTATTTTTGGGCACTCAGAAGCCTTAGAAGTGTCAAATCCATACAAACATGATATAGCTATGCCGCTTAGTGATTTAAGGATTTAAGGAGCCTGCCATATCTGATAATACACTGAAACAGAAAGATGGCCAGAAAAAAAAAGATAGTGGTTACTCTGCTTCAAGCTGCCTCCTCGTGTCCGATCAAGATTTGGTTAGATACGAATGTTTGAGGCCTTGATCGGTGGGTTGTCAGTGTCACTATACGAAGTACAGTGATCTGTTAAAGGCAAAATTGGGTTGAATGAAGTTGGACATTTCCATTTCAACTACAAGTGTCAAGAGTCAAAATCTTACAAAAGTTCTTTTAAGAATGCCGAGAATGCTGAAATTTACAGCAAAAGCCAATGCTTCGATCAACAAGATCAAGGAACTTTTTGCGGTGAAACAGCCCAAAGGTCTCCCCTCTCACGTCCTATACGATCCTTCAAAAGAAAAGATACAACGCATGGTCAAAGCCTTGGAGTTCTTCCAAAATGATCATATAATATCTTTCAACAGCTCGAACAAGAGAAAAGGCGGAGAGTAAGGACAAGGAGCCGACCACGTTGAGGCGCGTCATGGAATAAGGAAACGCAGAAAGGTACTGGGAAGAGCACAAGGGCTATGATCTTTGGGATCGATTTCTACCTTTCATCGTGTCTTAGAAACTTTTTATTCTAACACTTATATACATATTCAACTTTATTTTCTTCATATTTTTTATTTTTTATTTTTCAATAGAAGCGACATCATCCTACGGAGATAAAAGAAAAAAAAAACAAAATGCATATAGTATTCGTCATGTAGGGAAGATGGGTATAGAGGATTAATGAAAATAAACAGCGATAATGTCGAGCAATGATGTTTTTCGTTTGTGTGTTTGTGTCATCCATAATACAGGTGTGGTTTAGTTCGTTGGATTTAGGCATAGAGGGCCTTAATCTGACTGACATATGCCTGGTTAATCTCCTTGCGCTTCAACTTTTGAGCAGCAGTCAACAAACCACTTTGAGCAGTCCATTCCTCGTGTTCCAAGTACACACCCTGCAATAACTCAGCAGGCTTAAGGCCAGCACGCTTGGCGGTGGCGAGGCAGGCATCGAGAACAGCCTTAACGATGACTTTGTCTTGGCAGAGAGCGGCAAAATCCTTAGTCTGAATACCCTTCGATTTGGCTAATTCTAGAATGCGGGGTTCACTAGCAACAACAATGGCAACAGGCTTTGACTGCATAGAGTCAGCATAGACGCAAATGTTATTGCAGTAGGCTGTGCTCTTGTAGACAGATTCGAGCTTCTCAAGAGCAATGTACTCTCCGTGCGACAGTTTGACCAAATTCTTCTTACGATCAATGATCGAAATGGTGCCATCGGGGTGCCACTCTGCAATATCACCTGTCTTGAGCCAGCGGTCAGCAGTCAATGTTGCGGAAGTTTCCTCTGGGTTCTTGAAGTATCCAGCAGTGATGGAAGGTCCACGAATCCAAACCTCACCACGGGCATTAGGCTTGTCCGTCGAGAAATATCCAGCATCGGGCACATCCACAAGTTTAACTTCTGTGCAGGGTACAGGGGAACCAACACGGCCGTAGTTGAAAACATCGGGGGTCAAGATAGCGCACATTCCACAAGACTCCGTCATGCCGTATCCTTGAAGAATAGGCACCAGGGCAGCGGTCAAGAAGCGCTGAGTTTCCTGAGAGATGGGAGCACCTCCAGAAAGAGCAAAGCGAAGACGTCCTCCGGTCTGTTGCTTGACCTTGTTGAAGACAACAGCATCAAAGATTCCAGTCAATGCATTCAATTTGCGATCCTGGCACCAAGCCTTGGCATTCAAGGCAGCATGGAAGACCTTCTGGACAAGGGGCGATCCCTGGTTAACCTGGGCCAAGATTCCCTTACGGATGGTTTCCCAAACAGCAGGGACACCAGTCATAAGGGTGGGACGAAGCTCCTTAATATCACCTTGGCACTCGCGGACTGAGGCATCAGTCAGAGTACGTACAGTACCGTATCCAAGAGTGACACCCCAGAACAAGCAAACATTCTCGACCAAAAACTCGAGAACGTGAGCAAGAGGCAGATATGCGAGCAGGACATCTCCTTCATGAATATATTTAGTCAGCATCTTGTTGACTCCACCAACTATTAAACATTGATAAAAATAGTAAGTATATGAAATGTGAAGCTAAAAGCATAAAAAAAAAAAAAAAAATATATATATATATATATATACATACTAGCAGCAACCAAGTTTCCGTGGGTCAGTAGCACTCCCTTAGGGTTGCCAGTTGATCCAGAGGTGTACATGATACAGCAGTAATCCTTTGCAGCGGGAGGAGTGGGCTCAACAGGGTTATCAACACCAAGCTGCTTCAACTCCTCGAGGGTGATGAGCTCGAGGTGGGGATGTGCCTCCTTGAGAGCAATGACATCAGATGCCTTTGCATCACCATCGTAGACGATCTTCTTCAAAGTAGGACACTTGCCAGCAACATTCTTGATGGTGTTGAGCAAGTCAGCATTGGTGTAGGCAACAGTGATCTCAGCTTCGTTCATTGAGTGCAAAAGACCATCTTCACCAAGGGTGTCGTAAGCAGTGACAATGGTAATGGACTGGGTGAAGGCACCATGAGCGAGCAAGAGCCAGTTGGCGCTATAGGTAGAATAGAAATAGAAAGTAGGGTGGACGTTAGTCTAATCGCACGATGGTACACTAATTTTCAACGGCAGTTGTCATGTTGACAGAAGTTTCTTTCTCCAGGCCAAAAAGCACATGACTCAACAGGGGCTCTCATCATCCCATCCACAGTTGGTCGCCCAAATGTCTCAGGACATCGCCTAAATTGGTTCTCACGCATATCAATCTCCCCGTTCAGGATGTCTTGCCAAAACTGGCACTCGAGATCTGATACTAGCCATATTGCACCAGATCTCGATTTTTTCGCTTTTCCTGTCATGCACGCCCTTGATACTTGCAGTTTTTTATACAGTCCACACAATTGTCTCGACCCAGACCCTGAACCAATTTTCACTTTTTCATTCATGGGCCCCAATAACCATGCTCTTTGCTCAAAAACCCCTAATAAATTGCTTTGCCATGATGTTCCATACCTTGTAGCACCGAAAACGGTAATCCTGTCCTTGGGTTGAAGACCGAATTTACGGAGACCACAGCCAATGCTATCGACAACCTGTTTAGCGTCTTTGTACGTCAACCAGTGGTAGCCTGACATCTTGAAGAACTTCCAGGTCTTCTTTTCCTTAACTTCTTCGCCTCCGACAATCTTGGTTACTTCCTTTTCCTCTTCAACAATCTTGACGACCTTGCGATAACCAATTGCGTTGAGGTTAGGACGGACCTTGACAGAGTAATTGAGAACATCATAGAGAGTCTTAATTTCGTCTGAAGGTGTGGACATGAGACGCTTGGCTGAGAGGACTGAGCGGCGGATACGGGTCTCGCCCTGGACGTCTGTAGGGCCGACTTCAACGGTAAGGCACTTTGTCATGATGAAAATATGTATGGTATGTCTAAACGGGATGAATGAAATAGATGAAGAGTTCGAATGATGAAATCACAAAGGCGAATGAGGAGAAATGTCGTAGGTGGGGTGAACGGATGATGAGTTGGGAGAGAGGATCTAGTCGAAGAGATAAAAAAAAAAAGAGAGAAAAAGAGAAGAGAATAACGTCTTGACCGGTCTTTATAATGTCAAGAGTTGGGGAGGTAACGCACCAATTGTATTTAGTAGACTGGAAGACGTGGAGTTGTCAGACTATGCTCTTCAAATTAATAAGTATTGAGAAACATGTGCTTTCTGTTCCGTCCTAATTTTTTCCTTTCACAAGGATGTAATGTAAGGTGGTAAGACATGTTTGTTACATATTAAGGTATTTTGTTATGGAGCAATTGCTGAGGATTAAAAAAAGAGCATTAAGTTTGTCCTAATAAATAAATAGAAACTGAACTAATGCACAGAGGAGACTGAATGAAGTGCACCGAAAACACCCAAAGTGGAGGCGGATGAGGGGACGAGAGCACTCAAGCTCTTGCATAAAACGCACACACAACAAACATAAACATATTCTATTTACACAAACATCTTTGACCGGACAATATTTTAATTCATCATGCCCATCCACGAGACCAACGAACCAGTAGACAGATTATCCATCGAAAGCAGCCCCTCGAAGAGGCCGAATAAAAATACATCTTAAAAAAAAAACTAGTAACATGAGCTTGTCCCTATTTCACTAGTCTCACCTTTCATCTCTCCAGGCTCCAAGTTCTATCGGCCCTTGCAAAAAATGAAAAGTAGGAATAGTCGTGTCAGTAGTTTAGTGACCTCGATTTTTTTTTTTTTTTTTTTGGTTGAGCAAGTACTATTAATGCATTGCATCTGAACGTTGCACGACTCGGAGCCGGGTCATATTTTTTTGCGTGGCGGATGTAAGATGGAGGATTTCGAGATAGGAGGACCACTTTTTTCAAATGTCAAATGTCAAATGAGAGCCCAAACGCGAGCATAAGCATTTTTGCACAGATGCATGGGCACATCTTTTTCTTCTCTGGAACCCTCTTTTTCAGATGCACATGAAGCCTTTCTTTCGAAAAAGGTTAACGCCCACTGTCGGTTCTTACTAATAGCGAAGATTGATCAGTATGTAAGTATGTATATAAGTATGCGCAACAAGTCTCTCTTTGTTGGTTACCGTTATTTCACGTGAGGGGTACAAGCAAGTCATTTGGAAGGAAGGTTGTGGAGAGAGAGAGAGCCGGTAAATAAAGAACTATTGGCGCTTGTTAATTGTACTCCATCTTTGACTAATCACATATCCTAACGAACATTCCAAACATGCATGTCTTTTGTTTTCTCGCACGGTTCATCAAGTTACGAATGGACAGTTGAATACGACACATCAAATATATAATTGATATAACGATGTCGTAGTGTTCCGAGACTCCGTTAGTATCTTTTTTTTAACTAGCAAATGGTGCACATGAAAATGCGAACGAAAGAGTCACTTATAACAGTTGATTAGTCTAGCATAATGAACTCTTGTGCTCTCTTCAAGTGTATTGTTGAATAATACAATAGGGTTTCATGATTGTATCGGTAATAAAGTCCACGATCAAAGGAATCTTCGCTAATTTGCACATATTAATACGATGCATAGATCATTGCGAGCGACTATGAGGCTCTCATGGATTTTGCAAACAACGTTCACTCCTGCTATATCTCATCAAGCGGGGTCTGACCGTAGAATAAAAAGAGTTCGAAATCCGTTGGATAGACTTTTAATTTTGCAGCAAATATGGCAAAAAATGAGCACTTTGCGGAAGAAGGAATCAGGCTTTTTGTTCCCAGTTGGTTGACTGGGTCCTGATTTAATTATTTTGTCGGTCACATCACATATCCTTTCATTCTTATCTCCGTTGAAAGAGCCACAAAATGCTTTAAATAGCAGAATTTTTCCCTGCTGAGTTGCCATAACTGGATCCCCCTTTTAACCAATCAGGTGAAGGCCTAGTCTTTCATGGTTGCAATAGTTTATGGTGCCTGAATGGATGCCGGCCTAGTATTTAGGAGAGAAATCCGATTCGTGTGATACTTCGTGTGATACTTTCATCATTCCTCATGTTCCCGGGTCTCCGAATCATTTGGTATTGTCCACGTGAGATCAACTGACATCAAGCTTTTATTCAATGGAGGAATGAGACATAGAGCTGAACAGCTGGAGTCTCTTCACCCGGCTTTCCAGGGAGTTTCTACACCTCGCGTCATGTTACTGTTGAAGTTTTACGCTTGTTTGAAGAAGCCTGTTACAAGGGATGGATTGGGTACCTCTTTGACCATATTTACGTGTCTCTTCATGACAGTGCGTGCAATGGCCTCCAGTGAGTGCTCCAGACAACAGCAACGTGATGAGGTGTGTAGAAGCAGAGACAGTTTCGATTGATTCCATCGAATCCCATCCTTAAACAAAAGAGGGGCTTCCACTGTAGTTTTCTATTTTTCTCAACAAAAACTTAAAAAAAACAACAAAATCAAAAACAGCACACCATTCAGTCATTATTGCTCTTATTCATTCTCATTTACGTATTTCTTTATTTCACAACTTGTTTTGCTACAACCACAGCTTTTAATTACAGTACACGAACATTCTACTCCTCTAATTCAACTACATCATGGGCAAATCGCAATCAAAATTGACTACAGAAGAGCTTAAGGACCTTCAGCGCTGCACTCGCTGTAAGCTTTATTTATTTATCAACGTTTTTTTTTTTTTTTTATTTTTTTTTAGTTATCTTTCACGATGAATGAGTGTCTGTAATAATAATAAAAAAAGACTATTATTAATTAACATGTTGCTTGTCTGTTTTTATTCTTCTATCAAACAGTTGACAAGAAAGAGCTTCAGCAATGGTAAATGTGAGATGCCATCCCAATGCATTCTCTTCGAAACTGAAAATGATAGCAAGAGAGTGGAGCTTATTGTGCTCTGGTCAATTCAACTACATCATTATCATGGCGTCATTGAAGAGTAGAAAGTGTTTTTCTTTATTTTTTTTTTAAACTTTCAACACTTGAATCCTCCATCCCTGTCGATGCATGCACTTTTTTTCTCTCTCTCCTTTTTCCATTTGTATGGGGGTATGAGAAAAGAAGGTGAGTCTGGAGCCAACAATAGTCTACCGACAGGATATGCGGGCGTGAAGAGAGAATTGTCTACAAAAGCGTGAATAATTCTAAAGTGGTTTATGGGCCATGATATGGGTCGTTTATCGTGGAAAGCTTGTGGCTAGGATCACTCTTGAAGCCAACATTCTGTTATGAAGATTTCGGCCATCAGTTTTAACTTGATTAATTTAATACAACAGGTACAAAGGTTTCATTAAAGACTGCCCGAGCGGCGAACTCGACAAGCCAGAATTCCAGAAGATCTATAAGCAATTCTTCCCCTTTGGAGACCCTTCGACCTTTGCAGACTACGTCTTCAATGTCTTTGACTCAAACAAAAATGGAAAGATTGACTTCAAGGAGTTCATTGTTGCCCTGTCCGTTACTTCCCGCGGAGATCTTGAAGACAAGTTGCAATGTAAGCAGACACGTCATTCGACAACACATTACATCGGGCTCTCTATTTCTGGACCAAAAGGTCATTTCTTTAATTTTGCTGCTCTAGAAGCAGCTGAACAACATCAGTGAAGTCATGTATCACTCATTATCGCCGACGTCAAAGTCAAGGCGCTTGCAGTGTCACTTTGATAGACTGATGCAACAATTTTGTGTTGGTATTTCAGCTTGCTTATGTGTAATCTACTCTATTTTTGGATTAGGGGCGTTCCAATTGTATGATATCGATCAGGACCAGTCTATCACATATGATGAGATGCTGAGCATTGTGGACGCCATTTACAAGATGGTTGGCACAATGGTAAAGCTTCCTCCGGATGAGGATACAGCTGAAAAGCGCGTCTCGAAGATTTTTTCACTCATGGACAAGGACAGAGACGGAAGATTGACCTTTGATGAGTTCAAAGAAGGTTCCATGAAGGATCCCACAATTGTACAGGCACTCAGTTTGTATGATGGTCTTGTTTAAGTTGCTATAGCAATAAATTGATTTGACTGCCCATTGTCCATTGACGGCAGCACCATTCAGTCCTTTGCTTTTTTTTATGGTTATCAGAACTTAAATAAAATTCTGTTGTAAAAAATAAAAATTTTGTAGTAGAGTCCTCGCCAAAAAGTCATAAACTGGATATATTTTACAATACTCAATTTGAATTAAAAATTTGAAAAATAAAAATTTACGTACGAAGACAAAAATGCATATATTTTTTGAATAGAAGGAATGAATTAGATGCATGGCCACCAAACCAATTCAATCTTCGTTTTTAATTAGAAATATTAGAATTTGCGAGAAATGGGCAACATCATTCTCAATCTCATTCTCGATCTCATCCTCATTGTCAACCTACTTTATTCGCAATCTTCAGATAGTAAAATGTCTTTCCCTTTTGATATCAATAACCTACTCTCATACAACGATCTTGGTGGTTGGTATAGCGAAGGAAATATCGACCAAATGATTTCAGGCACACCCTTCACTCCGCCTCGAAGATCGCCACAACTGCCCACTGAAGCCGATCTCTCCCCTATTAGGTCTCCTACCGAATATCAATGGATTACTCCTCCCAGAAACGAGCCAAGGAGTTCTACCTCATTAGAGCAATTCGGTGAGCGTCCCAATACCCTCGATTTAAATCCATTCTTGTCAGACAAACAAACTGGAGAGAGAAAAAAGGCATTTACACGCAGTAAAGCGTCCGTTACTAAAGACGAATACGCGATAATAGCTCATACATATAATGCTATAATGAATGCGCCACCAGCAGTCCAAGACTGGTTTAAGAAGACAGACAACAGAGCAATGGACCTTTCTATTCTGATGGGTGTAGGGAGAAACACTTGTGTGGCAGCAATTAAATATGCACAAACAGGCATCGTCGAAATGACAGGGCGAGGAAGAACTGGACGCCCTAAAAAAGAAGCGGACAAGGATTTAAACTCGAAGGTGCTGAATATCATAGTTGAATCAAACAAGAGCGGGACTCCTAATTCTGCGGGTTTAATTGCAAACCAACTGAAAGAAGACTTTGAAATCGACAGATCAGCAAGATCAATCACTCGCGACCTCCGTAAAATGGGACTGTATTGGGGCAAAGGGATCCGACAGAACTTTTTGCACGACTCCAAGGAGAATATTGCCTTCCGAGCTACTTACCTGAAGCGCCGTCTTAAGAATTTAAAACTAGTAGACGGCAGTTGGGTGCCTAGGACTCCAGAGGTCTTCTTGGACGAGTCTTACTGCCACATTGACCATGCTGCAGCAAGACGTTGGGTGCAAAGTGGCGGTGGTGTCATTAACGATGCAGGAAGGAAACCAATCATGGTTATATTTGCAGCCTTCATTGTATATTATGATGAAGCTGCTAAAAAGGTTGAAGGCAAATTCGTTAATGATAGCGTGTATGTTTGGCCATCAAAGGGACCAAAGCCTCAATCAAAAAAAGGCCAAGAGCAGGAGGCTGAACTGTGGGATGACGTACCTGAGGAGATCAGGAATGCAGGGGTCGTGGCAACAGATCACGATTATCATGGAAACTTCAACGCTAGTTTGTTCGATAGTATCTTTAAGCGACTTTGTGAGAATCTCAATAAGATGGGACTTGGCCCTTGTAAAATCCATCTTGATGGCGCTTCATATCACTTTCACAAGAAAAACAGGAAACCAACCAAGAGCGACACTGTGAAAACTATCAAAGAGTGGCTCACGGGCAAGGAGATTGTTATTCCAACAAGGGAAAATGGAAAAGCACTGAACAAAAACGAGCTTATGGAATTGGTTAACGCTCTTCCTGATGAGTCGTATTTCTCTATCAGTAAAATAGCCCAGGAGAATGGTGGACATGAAATCCTCAAGACTCCACCCTACCATTGCGAGCTACAACCTATTGAGAAGATCTGGGCAGTTGTGAAAAACATAATTGCCTCGAGAGCAATGGTGACAATGACATCCATCTTGCTGAAAAAAAGGCTACTAAGCTTGTTTTCCCAGATTCCGTGTAAAGTCTTTTACTCTGTATGGAAGAAGTCTGTGAAAATTGGCATGAGATACTATAACGAGAGGAGTCATGCACAGGAAGAAATAGTCGAAGAGGTTTATCAAGAGGTTTTTGATGAAAACGAGCCTATTGTGGACCTTAGTGACACTTTCAAAGTCGACAATAGTGAGTGGGATGCAGAACTCATTAGAGTACTAAATCAAGAGCGAGCTGAAGCTGTTACCCTAGGCCCTGAGATAGTGGATCTTACACTAGATGCTGGAAGCATGTTTAATGTGATAGAGGATAGCGAGTCTGAGGACGAGCCTCTTATCAATCGAAAACGCTCTCGTAAAAATTAAAATTTTGAGTTTGTACGTATTTTTCCTGCGTCTAAAAGTGGAAGTATTCTATTCAATTTAAAAGCCTGAAAAATATATCCAGTTTATGACTTATTGGTGAGACTCTAGAAAGGATTTGGATCACGTGCTCAATATTCTTAAACGTTTATTGCTCAGCCTTCTAATTATGGTTGTTGCGTCTATTGAATCTAACCAATGCTTGTTTGTGTACGTGTTGTTTGCTTGCTGTGAACCGTGTCTATTATATCCAACAACGTTATTCTCCCTTCTTCCCCTCATCTTACGAGCTCCTACTTGGAACCCTCGATCGCAGCATCCTGTCTTATTCATCTCCTTTATTATATTTCCTATCCTCATCTTTTTTTCCCTGCTTCTTCTTCCTTCTGTCCCTCGCATCTATTCCAATTTTATCATTCTCATATCACGGACAGGTAAATGAGGGGGTGATGTTGAGTATCTTTTTTTTTTTTTTTTTTTTTTTTTGAGCTTGTTGAGTCTCTTCGATTCTATTCTTTTCATCCATCCTCTTTTTATGTCTTTTTTCTTTATTCATTTCCCACGAAGTATCAATAAGATTATGAACTTCTTTACTTTGTATGAAGCGCTTGTTTATCCAGCATCCTCGATTCATCTGCTTTACCGGTAGCTCTGCTCTCCTTTTCATTTCTTTTGTCCTTCTAAGCGCCACCAATTTCTTGCTGCATCAGAGGTGTCATTAGACTATCTGCTTTCATTTGAAAAGAAATTCTTTTTGTCAAAATTGTATAGTCTTACCATATTTGTCTGTAAAAGAGAATTAATTTTGGGTGAAAGTCGACAACTGGCGCAGTCCAAGGGGGTTCAGGGTGCAATGACCTTTTAAAGCATGAATATTCTTGAGAAGAGTTCTTTTTCGTTGGAGCGCATGACCGGCTAGTTTTCCCTTCTGCCCTTGCAAGCATTCATGCAAGCAAATACTATTCGTTGTTTGTCGTCATTGTGAGGGATTGCTTGATTCGGTGGACTCGCACAAATTCCTTCTTGCAGAGGGCCGTGTCTTTTTTTTCTTTTGCAGGAGCTAATGAAGCCTTTTATTATTATCAGGGGTCAGGAGTCATCCTTAGTATTATAGGTTTTAATAATCCCAGGACAGCATTCACAGGTACGTCAATATAAGTAAACTTTTCTTCTTTTTTCTTTTTCTTTTTCTTTTTTCTTTCAAATACGGCTCAGCGATGCTGTTGATGTTGCCTTGCTTCAAATCTTTTCTTGTTCTAACCGCAGTGCTCACGAGCTAGAAGCACACTGACATATATCTGCTACTTGGCTCATTTTTTTGTTATTTCGTCCGCCTCCTAAACTCGATTTACGTACGTCTCTTGACTTCCCTCATCAACTTTTAAGACGCACTGTTAGTTGATCCCTTTCAGAAGAGGTTACATTCCGCTTACTCTTCATTAGTTTCAATACTCTATTTGGTTTATTCGTGCGTCCTATAGCACAGCCCATCTTCCATCCCGCTCACTGAACGCGCGCCTCGGATCCCTGGAGGGCCTCAGTGCTTTAATCACTAATAAAGCCGAGGCAATTTGCAAGCGGCTTTGAATTTTTAGTGTGTCTGGGATCACGCTGGTCCAGCCACATCTGAGGTTTGCTTTCCGTATCATCTGAATCCCTGACTTAAGTCTGACACTATTGACGTGCCCAAGCGCTACTTTACATTAAAATTAAGACCCAAGAGGACCAACTGTCAATATGTCAAACGAAAGCCAGTTTTTCGGATCCTCTATACTGAGATACATGATGCAAGACTTCAGCCAATATCCCCCTCGAAAATCTTCTGCTCTCAGGTTACCGCTATCCGAGGCATTTAAGCCTTCAAGCGAACCTCAGTCGCCAGCACTGGCACAGGCATTAGCCATCCCCGGCTCACCCAAGTATGGAACCAACAGCTTTTTATTCACCGTAAGTAATTTTGTATCATCACCATTGCCGTTCACAAAGTCCTCGATTCCGCAAAGAGAGCATAGCTGACCCTGTGACCAAAATTAGGACAATGAAAAGCATAGCTGGCTGGGATACGGTCAAAGATACAGAGCTGCTTTGAGTAAACACTACTCTGAAAGCATACATAACCAGGCCCCCGGTATCAATGATAACGGAGGGCAAGCTCGTGATAGTGACATTAAAATGTCACTATTGGATCGAAAAGCAAAATCCCACGTACAGGTTGGCCCCCAAGCTAGGAAAAGTTATCTCGCACAGCCCTCGAGTGTTGATCTAGATCACGATGCACAACAGAACCTATTCTTGCCTTGCCTTGCCGCTCAAAGCTTATTTTCGTCAAGAGCTTCTTTACTCGCATCTGAGTTGCTGCCGCGAGCCATAGATGCTGGTGAGGAGAGGTCCTTAATGCCTGGCCCTTTGCTCTTCGGGCCATGCCTCCTTCCAAAGTATAGGTGCGCTCACCCTAGGTTGGTCGCTCCATCAAATGCCTTGAGCGAGCAGCTGTCTGTGCTTATCGTTAAGAAAGGTATACCTATACCAACTCGCTGGCTTCAAGTCTCAAACATTCCTCGAAGCATGCCTATTTGGCGGGCTCGTGCTGCTTTTAAGGTGATTAGATGGCTTTGTTGATGTGAAATGGTATTTTACTATTGTACGAAAGTAGTACTAAAACCAAAAAAAAAAAAAAAAAAAAAAAAAAAAAAAAACGCTTTCATTATTTCAGGGCTATGGGGATTTGAGAGGGATTTTTACAGCCTATTTAAATGGCGAAATGTCCCTATTTATCGAGTTCTTTGACATCAGGAATGCGGTAAAAGCTTCTAGAAACTTATATTCAAGTAAATTGTTTGACATGACAGTCAACAAAGTGCGGTTCTGCCCAAGTGCTGTATTATTTCAAGTAAGCGTAGACCTTAGCTTTCTCAGAGATTACGCTCCTGGTTGTAGCCATATGAACTAAATTAATGATTGTCGAGCTTAGGTCTCAGCGGATTACGCAAAAAACCCAAACCAAGGAGTCCTGAAAATATCACTGCAAGCGCCATTACTTAATGAGAGTGACATGCTGGTAAGCATACAGATGAGCCTGAGTGCCTCATTGCGAAACTATCGCCTTTGCCCAACAGCCCTGTTAGGGTGCTAATAAGTCCTTATTTGGTATCAATATAGCACCTCCTCGGTTCTTATGGTGATATCCGATCGTTTCGAACTGAGTTGACCTGTTGGCCACTTGTAACATTCGTGGAGTACTATGACGCCAGAGACACCGCTACTGCAAAAGCTGGTTTGGAAGAGGCGAGCAACAATGTACGCAATAGGTTTTATGAGATATTGAGATAAGGTTCCTTTATTATAGACTATTAATATAACATAGCATACTAATTTTATTTCCTTTCCAGAAACAAATACTATGCCATGTTCAATTTTGCGACAGGAGCATGGTGGAGCTCGTGGCACGAAGCCAGCCACAGAGCCAATCTAGAGACAGAATAGCGCCGGCAAAATCGACACTACCATTGGAGCGATCTACCGATGTATTAAGCTTGCCTTTGCCTTCTGGTGTCCGGCAAGGAATCAGTGCTAAGAGCTCAAGCTCCCCGACAAACATGGCAAATTCTGAGTTTTATCCGCAACAAAATGAATCCTCATGTCCATTTCAAGGCTTGAGCGATATTAGCCACGCGTTACCGACAGTTGCTTTGAGCGAAGTTATCAGCGATGAACTTTCAACCAAGCCATCCAATGAATGGTCAAATAAGTCACCCTCAGGACCAAATTCGATAGTCCCGCTTCAGAACAGTCATCATGAGGTGAACCCAAGGGCTATGGGACAGCCTAAAAGCACGTTTGAGTCTGTGAATGCTGCTGGCGTAAGCAGTACAAAATCGAATATTGCCGTGGTTTCAAACAGTAAGCACTGTCAAGAGTATTTATAAGGCTTATAGCGGTTTAAAAATTGTGTAGTCTATTCATTTATTAACCCGGAGCATCAGGTTCCGACAAACGCACTACATTCATGATTCGGAACATTCCTAATAAATACACGCAGGTAAGATTATCTCTCTCTCTCCCTTTTTTTTTTTTTTTTTTTTTTTTTCGACATACACTAATGTGAGAGCAACATGCCATTTTGTTCATAGCAAATGCTTCTTGAGTGCATAAACGAAACCCATTTCGGAAAGTTCGATTTTTTATATCTGCGAATGGACTTTAAGAGCAAGTGCAATGTCGGCTATGCATTCATAAACTTTATCAACACTGAGTAAGTTGAGAAGCGCGTTGCTGTTCATTTTTGGTTTTATTCTTTGCATTAACTGTCGTGGATTCCTTTAATATATTTTGCTAGTGTCATTCCATCATTTGTGGAGCAGTATGTGGGTAAGAAGTGGTCTCGCTTTAACTCGGACAAGATTTGCAGCCTTTCATATGCAGTAATTCAAGGCAGAAAGGCTTTGATCGAAAAATTTCGGAATTCATGGTATGAATGCGTCGAGATTTGTTTTTATTTTAGTCTGTTTTATTTAAACGTCGAGCTCATCCACCATTGCGTATCCGACAATAGTGTTATGAATGAAGAGCCACATTATCGCCCCAAGCTCTACTACACTAGTGGAGCAAACAGAGGCCTAGAGGAGCCGTTTCCTGAGCCAACTGCGCACAGGAATGCAGCGCACAGGCCTCTGCGGCGTCGGTCTTCAGGCTGCCGCAAAGGGGCTGCCACCTTTTTTGCGTAGCAGCCTGTGCCTGAGGCAATTGCATCGAACACCTTATTAGGGAAAAAGGTGGGAGACGCTAAAGGGGGATGGGTTGTCTACGAATTCCTTGCCCCCTTAGAATAATTAATGCTTTGCCTCGTTGCGCGATAATAAAGAGCTCGTAAGCTACAACAGAGGAGTGGAAGGATTATCTTGAGTCTTCAACGATCTTTTTATAGTGTGTGTGCTTTTTTTGCAATGAGAAGGATAAACGTGCTTTTAGATTAATTTATTCTTCGTCACAAAGAGTTGTTGTTGGTTGTTTTTTTTTTTTTTTTTTTTTTTTTTTTTCGCTTGTGCTCAAGCCAAGCCAAAGGCAACATCGGAAGGCCCATCGCCCTCCCTCTGCCTACAGATGCTTTAGCAAGACATCTAACAGAAGGCTTCCATCCTCCGAGTTTCAGTTTGTTGACACCAAGATCGGATCACATGGTCATCAATGGCGATCACAGTTCCTACTTGTCACATGCGCTTTTGATGATCAAAGTCACCCAGGGAAAATTTTGTGCGACGATCCAGGTTCAAATGAATATTTGATCTCAAAGCGGATATTTTCTTCTGCGACTTCCTCACGAGCTCCTGCAATTAAGACAAGCCAATTCTCAGCACTTCTGATAACCGTAGCAATAACCAAAAGAAAGGAAGCTATTATCATAGACGCCAAAAATGAAAAAAATGCCAAAGCCTTACATTTCACGACCTTTCAAGTCGCGCTAGACTATCAAATGAGTTGCCATACGCAGTATCGCCTTACTGAACTAAAATGCGTATAAAAAAAGAAATACATTTAAAGATCTATAAGTTAAGAAAAAATTCCATGACTGATGACTGATGTTTTATTTTGGTGTTCTACATCGCTAGAATTATGTAGCCTCGAAGAGGAGTCGAGATAGAAGAACGCAAGACATGTTTCTTAAAAAAAATTAGATGATCAGTAGAGCGTTACTGTGGCTACATGACCATTAAGCATCGCCTCAAACACCGCGCCATCTGTGCCATACAAGGTAGTATGCTTGAATGGGTTTTGGGTACTTGAACCGCGATTAAGGATCAAGCCTTGTTTGTTAGGGATACCGGCGGAAGAAGGTGAACCACCAACAGCACCAGAGGGATCCAGAAGCGCCATAATCGTGGAAATCTTCATATCCGGGAAAATTCCTTTTTCAGGGGACACTGCGGTTAATCCACCACCTAGCTGACGCTGCATATTATTATTGTTAGCCATATCTTGATCTGATCCAAAATTATCCGGCGACCCATGTGGGCTATCTGTTGAGGAATATGAGGCCCGAACGGGGTCCAAAGAATCGGTAACTGATGTAGAAGAGCCTCTTGACTTCTTTCTGGTAGTCTTCATAGCTTCAGGTGTTGATGGAAGTATTTGCATTGTTTGAGAAGGAATTGAGGACAATTTAGCTGTTTCTGCGTCATAGTTTGACGGAGGGGATGTTAGATGTAACACAAACGGACACCTTTTATAACTATTAATTCAAAAAAAAAAAAAAAAAAAAAAAAAAAGAGTTAGCAGAACACTTTTTTAGTAAAAAAAAATCTAAAGCACACTGCCGTACCTTTGAAAGTCAAAATGCCCAGGAATATTGGTATGCATTACAATCTTCTTGCATCGATGCGTACTTCCATCAAACAGAACATCGATACCAAGATGGAAATAGTTGTAAAAATAATCATTTGGTTGATGGGAACCTATTTGATCGTTTGTAAGAAGAGCAGAAAAATTATGAGTGGAACATGGGGCTCCTCAAACACCTAGCAATCCCTTCTGGGAGCATCTCATGTATCATTAGCTTAGCATATACCATCTGCTGGATGGCTGGATCTATCATAGCCTACGTCCTCCATCTCGCCAAGGATACCATCATCCACCTGCTGGGACTGAGGACTGCCATCCGTGTCGTTATGAATCTGCATTTTATCATCCTCCTTATAATATATACTACCTGGTGAACCCAGGTCAGCTAATAAATCCTGAGGCGTTGTGACATGTAATTGAATAAGGCATTTTTGAGACTGCATAGGTCCTGGGAATTGAAGCACTGCGCCATAGTTGATCTTAAAAAAGATAATGAATGGTGATATCAGTAAAAATATCCTGATTTCAATTCGTTAAAAACAAGGAAATGTATATAAGCCATACCCTTGCTACGACCTTCTCAACTTCTGTCCTATTCTCTCCGATGCGACCGTTGTAAAGATTGGGGCTGCTACTGTCCTGGATATTTCTTGCAAGCGTGGTGACAGGAATAGGCGCAGCTGTTATCCAATCAGCTCCGTGGAATATGTACATATGAGTGGCGACAGGTGTGTTACCATCAGGAAATTCTATAGGTAGGTCTGGTAGTACAGATATGTGTAGATGTAGAGATACAGGTGAGCCATCTTAATGCTGGCTCGCTAACATCAAGAGAAGACCGATAAACTCTTCAGAGCTGCCTAGTATTCCTTTATGTGTTACCTGCAGAGGTCTGATATAAGAGAGTGTGTTTTTCAGGGATCGGAAACACCAGCGATAACCCCTATATAGCGATAGTATGGATGACTCATAGGTTACCTCGATCATATCCAATTCAAATTTCAGGTTGTGGTATCGTATCTTAATATATAAAGAAACATCATAGATATTCTTACTGGATAACTCAAAGTATAGAGATTGTTTGAAGAGTCGAATTCTCCTGGGAACGTTGGTCTAAAGACAGTCATGGCAGTAACAAGAGATTCAACATGAATTCCTGTAGACGTATGTCATAATCAAACCCCAGTATTTATAGTAGCATTGAGTGTTGGTGTGTTACCCGATGAGCTGATTGATGAGTAGGAATGTTGGGAGAGCTTTCGATGAGCAGACTTCGCCTCCTTTGTAAGTTAGGCGTAGCCTCGAAAAATCATAAACGTGAATCAATTTCAGCCGCTGTAAATAGGGTTCAAATCGAAGCTCGATTCCATTTGAAGCCAGCTTGAGGACAATATCAGCTGCAAAAGGGTCCTGTAGTAAAGAGAGATACATGAGCTACAATAAGTAATAGTTATAGGTTGATTTACACCCAGGTACCGCAAAATGCTGAGCAAGTAAGAAAAAAAAACTAGTTTTTTTTTTTTCTTTTTTTTTCTTTCGTGCCTCTTCGCTGTATTTAAGTTCAACTGCGGGGATCAGCGCTGCTTGATCGCGAAGAAGACGGATAATGTCCCAAAGAGACATACCTAGAGCAGATGGATTTGGGAGTCAGGCATATATTTCATCTACACATTATCCATTTACGTAGCCTCCAGCATACACTCCATCCTAAAACATCTTCCTACCGAGCCTGAGCCAGCCAAGGTGTTTTCCTGGAGCGATTGATAGGTCTAAACGCTGAGCCATGATGGGTTTTTAGGATTATTTTTTTCAGTACAATATTGTATCTGAGGAAGAATTTTATACAGTGAGCTTGGAGTTTGAGTTTTAGCGTTCAATGCTTTTGAGGATACTTGAGGGTCGCAGGGATTAGAGGGTGATGAACAAAGAGTGGGCCAGAATTATAAGGACGAGAATCAACAAAAGCTTCATGCCCCATCATTTCAAGTTACATGTATGCATGTGTACACCAACATTGTGTTGTGTAGGGTCACGAGAATAATAAGCACGTGTACACCTCCTTTCTCTTTTATTGAGGCAACCTGTTTTGTCGTAGGTGATTTTAAAGGGACCGGTACAAGATGGGCTCACGCTAGATAGTTGTATATTGTCCTAAGGGAAAGCAAAAGGAATATATAGCGTCAGCTTACATTTTGGTAAAAGTAGTGCAGTTGTTCCAATATTCCGACAGGAGCTTGTGCCATTCACAGTTACCTGTCTCCAGGAGCTCTCTCAAGGTATTCTCGGTCGATTAGAGCTTCAATGCGCTTTTTGATCATAGATGGAGCTGGGTTAAAGCGCCCTTGTAGCTGACTTATGACCTCAGTAATCAAGTTATTGTGATCCAAGGATTTGCGGTTCTTCATCACTCTCACAATTGCAGCTTCGGCTATGTGCTTGCGATCTTCATCTACCTTCTCCTGCGTCTCCTTGAGCTCTACTGCCGACTCAACCTTGGATGCAATTGTTTGAATTTTGATACGTAGCTGTCTCTCTGAAAATGCTGCATTGAACTTGAATGTATCTGTTTCTGCAATCTCTCTAGATTTTGGATCCTTTATCAAAACTTTAAATTTCCCGCAGGCTACAGACTGTAGTGTCCGCTTCAAATTCTCTGCAGGGAGTCCAGTCTCCTGTTCGATGGTCGTATAAGAAAGGGATTCACCCTCTGGTACATTATTGAAGAGAAGTAGAACAATGGCAGCCATAGTTGACACATTGAGCTCATGCTTCTTGTTATCGAAAGTTGCTCGCAGATCCACATTGCCCTTTATAAAAGAATCGTAATATAGCGGTATGGTTAGACCGTATTTTTCCCATCCTCATAAATTTAATTGATGTTGTATGGTGAGATACATACCATTGTCATGTGCCATGTTAATTTTCTACCATTATGTCGTGAAGTGTAGAACCTCTCAAAGACTTTAGTGGCAGCCAAAAAGTCCACTGGGAGATTACATGGCACAGGCATTGATGAGATTGGCCAGAACGTAGACGTCAACACTGTGACATTCAGCTCAAACGGTGGAGTATCAGCTACTTTTCCAAGGAATTCTTTGAATGATCCCATGGTATCTGTCGACAAACGCATGTCCGTGAACATTCCTTCAAGTTTGGATGTGAACTGGAAGCCACACTCGATCTTCAATTTAGAGATCATACCACGTTCTGCTTCATCACTAAGGCTCTTTCCATGTAACAGTCGGTTGGACAAATGTTGTTTATAGTATCTCTCAAATACATCCTTATCTGAGAGGAAGCGGAAAAGCGTTGTGGTCTTATTAAGGATCAAATCAACTTCGTCATCTGATTTCTATAAGGCAGATAGGGTAGCGAATGACGTTCAGACAATGTGACAAAGTGGTCAAGAAATAAATCACGCAGCAACACTGAGCCTCAGCAAGTTGAGGATAAAGTAAAACTTACTCCTTTGAAATCTTTCTTAAGTTTGTTGTCAATAAAAAGCGACATGAATTCAGGCGCTTTGAAGTTCAAGTTTATGAAAATTTCGAACGCAGAGTTGATCGCTGTTTCAAACGATTTATCTTTGGAAAAGGCTGAGTTCAAGATGGTGTCGAATTTATCTTTTAAATCAAGAACTTCCTGTACCCATCTCAGCGCCAAAGCTACGCCCAGCGGTATTCCTTTCTCTGTATTTTCAATCGCTGATTCCTTCACATTTGTATTGATTGCTTTGCCACATTCTTTAATGTAGCTAGAAACGCCAGACTGGAGCTCCTTCGCTCCGTTGGGTACTCTTGAAAAAAGCCTGTACATACGATCCAAATCTGCCATGGAAATTAAGATATTAGGTATTTAAGTATATAAAACTAAACATAGATCCACCAATAAACTAATAAAATTCGCCTTCTATACCTTCTAAGCGATTATTGATTAAAAGTTGCTTCAGACCCCAATTTTCCATTTCCATGACTGTTTTGAGATGCTTTGCAATCATCTCTTGCTCAACAATCATGCGAATCTTCGGTTCCGTCTTTTCCGTCAAATAGTGGGAGCAACGCTGCTGTTCTTCATCCAGTCTATTCTCCACCTAGTCGGCAGTCAGAAAAAATATTAACATATTAGTATATGTATAGGACAAGGAAGGGAGCTTAGTGTGAACAGACAACCACACCACTTCATTACCTTGCGCATATACTCAGGCGGGTCAAACCTTCTGACAAGATCATCGCTTTCAATCCGGTAAAACTCGCGGCTCGTCTCCACAAAACGGGTTTCAAAGTCTGACACATAGATCGAGTCTGCTCCGTTGTTCTCCTTCATCTCAAGTAGCATATCTGTGCAAGCCTTAATGGCTCCACGATCAATCATATCTCCTTTTCGCTCTAAGGTTATTTGCTCAAGTAAAACCTTCTGCAAATGTGATTGAATGGGATATTTTTGCGATCGAATAACTGTGTCTCTGAAGAGGTAAAGGCCCATGTCATATGTTCGAGGTAATCTACTCTGAGGCACATAATTCTTGTCCTATTGATATGGTATCCAATAACACTTAATTTCTGACATTATCCAAGGAATCAGGTATCGAATGACGAGGAGATGGAACCAGATTGAGTGTCGCTTCTTTGACCAGTATTATCCTGACTTACCATGTGCACAAGGATATCGCTAATCATTAGAAGGCAAGTCACATGGTGCTTCCAGAGCCTCTGTATTGCTTTTAAGACCTGTACTCCTTCTGAGGGCGATGTATCTGCAATACCCAGTATAGGGACGATCTTGCTTTCGGCTTCTGACATCAAGTGCTTTTCGATCAGCTCCTTAGTGCCATTATAAAGGCGCTCGCCACACTTATGAATAACGAGGTTGTATCCGCATCGGTAGACCTCTTCATAAGACAGAGTATAAGCCTTTTGCTCATGGATAGTCGTAATAGCGTTGGCAAGAGTTGACCAAGTGCTTTCAAAATGCGACTCTGCTGCAGCCTGAAATAAAATAGAAGCATGGGTTGTATTAGTAACTTGTATTATGACTTGGCTAAAGTTGTGCTAGTATGGACTTACCTTTCTCTGGGGAGGCCTTATTTTCCCTCTAACAGGTCTTCTTCCTTGAAGAGAAGCCATTGAAATGTTGAAGGTCTTAGTGGAAGCGTGACGGATTAACGTGCGAACAATGTGAACCGAGGAAGAAAAAAAAAAATGTAGCGAGACGAGTTTAGGAAAGAAAGAAAGTATACCGGGCGATGAGGTTAGGAAAAGATTGGAATCTTGACAAAGTGGTCAAATGAGTGTGTCGATGTGTCAATGGAAAAGCACTGAGGGGAGAAGGGGGTGCAAGTGGGTGACCAAGTGATTGAAGAATAGGTACAATGCACTGTTCACAAAAAAAAAAAAAAGCGGACAGTCACGAGAACGAATATTTGGTGGCACCAAATGACAAAAAAACATGCCTTTCATTCTTTCCGAATCCAGAAGTTGTTTCTCATGAGCCTTCGCATGCGAAAAGAATTACATTTTAAACATTAGCGTTGACCAGACTGTCATTCTAGCGCAAGAGCGTATTATGCACCAATCACTGAAGCATAAGCTGGTAGGACAAGCAGCTGCATTGGAATGGTTTTTCTGAAGGGAGCCCAAGAAAAGTACTATATTAACAGACGTCCTTTGTGCGTCTAATAGGATGCTCCAGAGGACGAGAATTATCGTCCACGGACGCGTAAATCCATAGGCAGGCCTTCGCCTAGTTCTTATCACAATGTAAATGATCCAAAGCAGTCGACGGCCACAGTGCTCCATGATCAACTGACGTCTACTGTGGAATCTGAGCATTTGTCCCTGCGGAACTTAGTGGCGCCCCCTACAGGCTCTATAACATCTCACTCGAATTCGGCAACCTCACGCACCAACCAACGCATAATGAATGCGAAGACATCATTTTCACGACCTGAGCGTAAAACAATGGCTGTATCTCAGGTCTCGAAACACTTCGTCTTCGAAGCAGCTATCTCTGGAAAACCAACCCAAAGTACACAAAGATTTAGCCAATTTTCCATCCGCCCAGCCATAACAGACACTATTCCTGTCTCTCGAGCAACAAGGCGACAATTTGATCCGTCAAAAATCAAGAGGTCATCAGAGTTTGCAAAAAACTTCATCCTCCCAACCCCTAATAACAACGCCACCGCCACAAAAAGCAAAAGGAAGGATAAGTTCAACCCGCCGCTTGTGAGGTATGAGCTGTAGACAAACCTTTTTTTCTTTTATATTGAATTGTGATTCTAGTGTCCACCATCCACTAACTGGGTTTTCGAGTGTTTTCTAGTGGAGGCTATGCAGAAACCCTGGTAAACCTGATGGCATACCATAAATCTGAACACACGATGTGGGCAAATGCAGCATTTAGACAAGGTATGAGAATGATATTTCATTAGAATCAGTGGGGAAAACAGATCTGTCATTAATATATACATACATGTACATGTCCCAAACACTCTGTAGACAAAGTATTTGGATCCACAGAACCGATAGGTATAATTGAAATCACATACATTTCCAAGAATCATAATCTACAATGGGCTCTATGCAAAATTATTCAGAGTAAAAACAGCAAACCACCATTCGATATTACTTTTAATCAGGAGGTACAGGCAGAGTTTCATCAACCAATAGATGCGAGGACCCAACCTATCTGTGAGGGGCAGAAGCAAATGCCCCAGACTGCCGAATATGAATTTGTGAGCTCGGCGCCATCACAAGATCAAAGTAATATCATCGAGGTCGATTCTGACCCATTACAGCTTGAAGAGGAAGACTCAATTAGTGGAATAGACAAAGGAATGCATAAGATGGACGTGTTGTTGAGTTCAAAAAGCCCAGTACTCGATAACAGTTTTGACGTTTTTATGGAGGGTCAGCAAAAAGTTCGAGTGCAGCCTGATTCCAATCTGAACACTATTTGTGAAGAAGAGCCCGACACAGTACATCAGTTGCAATTCTTGATGAGCTCACAAGGCTCGGAAGAAGGAGCTCAGGATGAGAATGAAAATGAGATAGACCAGATACGCAAGGAGTTTATGCAACAACGGCAGTTGCTTTGTGAAGCAAAACATACATTGAAAAGTACTACCATATCGTGCGGAAGTAAAACCAATGTCAACGACGAAATCCGGAATGGTAACGCTGCCTTTAGTAGTGATTGTGCCTTGTCAAAAGCAGCAGAAGCGATTAGCGGTACTTACGATAGGTCATTGAATCTGGGGAATCGATACGTGTCGGAGTCCGTCCAAGATGCTACAGAGAACTCTTCTTCCTTCGTCGAACCTAAGAATCCAGGATCAAGTCTCGTTATCATATTTTCAAATCTTTTTGACTGGTCTGCGCTTAAAGTTAATGATAAAGTTGAGATACATGAGCCTTGTAGAAAAATCGCGATACCTGGCCTCAGTATGGTAGCCTATGGGTCCGCAGTGTGGATTGCTGAGCGGTACAAAGTCATATCGAATCAGCGCTGAGTATGCACATTTTACAGTTATATGTGAACCTCGCATTCATTATTTCATAAAAATTTATGATACATTCATGCCCAACTTTTTGTCCTGTTGCTTCTACATCTTATTATACTTGCATTAACCGCCGTTGTCGAGCGTCCTCTGAATTACTTTTGGATGGTCTCTTTGCCATCTTTCATTTAAAACCGTGTCTGCACAAACGTGTCCAAGCATTAGACCACTATCAACATCATCCTTAGGAAATTCTGGACTTGACATCTATTTTTCTGTGGCATTATTCAAGACCAGAGTGGGCTTGGTCTCAGATAAGAATAGAAGGAGTTTTGAAAATCATCCGCATTGAAATATTTTGATGCTTCTCACCACAATGACAGTTGTTGGTGCAGCTATATTGGTTTCATATTTGTACCTGGTTTGATATCAGCTCATTGGAACCTGAATTGATCCTGACTTTAGTTGATGAGCGAAACATCAACTGGAGTCAAGTCTATCCAAAAAGGAAGCCAACACAAGTTCCTAAATTCTATCCCAGAGTAAACAGAGTCGTCATCAAGGGATAGCTTTATTTAGTTATAAAAAAGAACTATTCATAATATTCACGTATTTGCCATAACAGAAAGGGAAGCCATATCTTTCTGATAGAAAGCAACTTCACATTCTCTAGTAATACTTGAATTACGTCTTGGCAATGAGTTGCGCACGTGGAGCCAATTTGGCCTCTTCCAGCGTTTGTTGCAAAGCCGAGCCCTCATATACCCTAAGTAAAAGGCGGCAGACATCAACGATGTCAAACATGTACAACCTAGTATTCATTAGCGTATAAATACATTGAGCCTATTTCCTTAAATACTTACATCTTTGGAAAATTGGTCATTAATGAGAACCCGGGAGCATTGATTCCTCTAGCGTTCAAGTTGGCCCTGACAAACTCATAGACCTGTTGTAACGTGTGTGAAGGCTCAAAGTCACCACGAACCATGGACCCATCTGGCAATCGAATTTGAATCTGGCAAGCGCCACCTGGTCCATCTACGGTCTCGGTATTTACAAATGGAGTCGCGCCATCGTAGGCGCTGCTACTGCTGCCACTGCTACTGCCGCCCAACGTCTGCCCCACACCTGAGAAAACATTGCCATCGTCGTGCTTCTTGATTAAGGCCTGAATCTGGCCTACATCTGCTCCTACAATTCGCCCAACTTCTGAACCATTCTTCATAAAAACGATTGTGGGCATGGCGGATATTTCATATGATCCAGCGCATTCTTTTGCCTGGTCCACATCCATCTTTGCAAAGATAACTGACTTGTGCTTCTTTTCAAGCTCTTCAAGTATGGGAGCTAGAGTCCTGCATGGTCCACACCATGTTGCAAAAAAGTCGACAACAACCTACCATTTAATGGATACGCCAGTGAAAAGGAAAAAAAAAAAAAAAAAAAAGCAGTGAGCCTTTAGTGAAATGTAGAGTACAAGTGCTTGTAAACGTGTCGAGTTGCCTTTATCCCGAATGTTTTATTTACAAGTTTGCGGCCTGCTGAATTCAACACATTGTTGAGCTCGGATCCCGAGCTAACTTGTTTCATTAGGAAGGATAAAAGACGTAAGAATAGAGGAAATGAAATAGTCGATGATGTAGAAAAAGTGGATGTAAAGGTCCATTTCTAATTCAAGAATATAATGTTATTCGAAGGTCTGTGCGACAGTTGTCCTATTTTGCTTTTTATCCAGTGATTGATGCATCTGATGCACAGAATATTACGAAAACTTTGGTAAACGTGTTCCAGACATTTCTTGGGTAATTAGCTTTATGAAATAAAAACAAGAGGCGAAGAATATAATATACAACGTATCGAGTCAATTAAGTAACTAAACGCACCCAGTAATAAAAAGTTTTGATGGCAGGCCGCGTGTAGACTTATAGCTGATGGATAATATGTTTTTTTTGAAATTATACTCAAGCGATGGATATGATAATAGAAAAGGATTCTACACGGCCATGTCTCTGGAGTCTGCCAGGGACATCCGAGATATGAACCATTCACATTAAAATTTAAACAATATAATCGAACTTAATCTGAGCCAATACAACAAACACTATGTATTTATTTATTATTGTTGCTAATTCGTTGTTCTTGATTCTGCTTTATAAACCTTTTGGGCCTACATAATATTCATCAAAGTTAGGTTAGCGTCTCGTCCCCGCTAGGGATCAGTGAGCCTGTTGACTCTGGTCCAGCCGAAGCCAAGGTCATTGTCGAAGGATTCGCTGAAACCGCTTGTTTGGATTCTTCATCTGCATGTTCCGAGATGTTATCAACTACGCTGTTCGTGTTAAGCGCTCTCGTCTTGTCTTCAGAAACCTTGCGAGATGATGCGCGCGATGAAAAATCATCGATTGCACTAGTAGATTGTGGTCTTGAAAGTGGTTCCGCCCGTTCATTTTTGGGTGTTGTAATTGGTGTGACAGACGCAATTGATCCTGAATCACTGGCTTCTGCTCGATGATAAACCCCTTCTGGCCACTCCCCGGAGGGGCCCATATTACCAATAGATTGTGTGGCTATACCAAGCTCTGCAAGCATGATTGGGAGCACTCCTGAACGTGCATAGAACATTTGTAGTCGAAGACGAAGGCATTCTGAGTATAGGTCCTCAATTGCACGAGATGCATATAGGCCGGCGCGGACGTTCCGAATGAAAATGTAGAACTCACAAACGGCTACCAAACGGTCTCGACAAAATCGATCGATGAACGACCATTCGTCGGAAGTCGCTATGCGATACCGATGGCTTAGGGGTCCTGCGCGTCCACAGGCCTGACAGCCTCCCTTAGGTGCCTGATACATAGCATACTGCGTCTGTAGTCGCTCCCAGAGCATGTTCTTGTTAGAAATGGAATTGCGCGCAGGTGAAGGTGGTTGTTGAGCTGCTAGAATCATACGTTCGTATTCCTTGACTTGCTCTGGCGTCGCTTCCTCGATATAACACGTGTTGGAACAGATGCCTTCTGTAAGTTTCCTAGCTGAAATCCTGGGGTTGTTTCCGAATCGTAGGCACGGTTCTACATCCTCGTCTTGACAATGTCGCATGAAAGGCAAACTATGAATCTTTGCCAAGCGCACTGACGCACTTTGCGTAACAAATTCCTTGAATTCTTGGATTAATTGGCCATCGATAGCTATTGCAGTCTCCGGCCCCGGTGATGCTGGCTGTTCAATCTCCGAGATCCTGCTCAAGCCAAATAATTGAGCAAGATCAACGCTTCCACGGTCTGAAGGATTGGTTGAAGAGCGTTTACTCTGCGGTCGTGACTCCATCATAGACTCCATTTTTGCCTTAAGCTCCTTGAGCTGGGAAGTCTCGGCTGCGAGTCGCTCCTGAGCGTCTTTCAGCTCGAGTTCGAGATGTTTCCGTTTCAACTCAAGTTGATGCCTTGCTCTCGCCTCTGATGCCACCATACCGTTGGCCTCTTCAAATAATGTGCGACTGAGCTCCTCCAACTCATTTTCAACCATTTCTTTGGCATGTTGCATCTCGGCGACTTTCTCGATCTCGTCCACATATTTGTCGTTCAGGATTGCTAGATCGCGCTGAACGTTTGAGTGTTCAGATGTTTTTACAGCGAGTGTATTTTCAAGCTCTTCAACTTTTTGACGGAGCATCCGCGTTTCTGCCGACTCAGACGTAGCTCGTGCCTGTGCCTCCTCCAGATGTTTTTGAGTGCGCTCCTGCTCCTCAAGCAATCGCGCGTGTTCCATCGCTGCTTCCGCCCAAGCAGGGATTGTACGCTGACAAATACCGCAGGTCCCATTGGCGTAAGTCCTGTTTACCCTGTGGCAGGGACAGCCTCCTTCAGTGGGGTTATGCACGCTTCCATTTATGTAACCGGAATTGCCACTAGTACTAGTGTTGGTACTGATGTTGCCCTGCTCGCTATTCACACTGTCGGCATTGATGGCATGCGAATCAGCGGTCGAGTCATCAATTGCAACTGTAGCAGCATCGATTTTGTCAGAGTTCATGACGTGGCAATAAAAAGGCAATTGGGTATGTCTCTGTCCAACCTTTCTATGTTTGTTGCTAGCTGTGCTTGAGTTGGCTCCCTTTCGTTAGTTCTGTGATTGAATGACTGAGAAGTGCGGTATGATTTACAAATTTTTGAATGAAGTCAAGATCCTAATGGCAACAGACCACTTTTGCAGATGGCTGCGCGTGATGGAAGAATCAATCGGGTAAGATTCTGTAGAGGGAGTGAATGGGGGTGATAAAGAGAAATAAAGGCAGGTCGAGTCAACACCCACTCCACAGTCCTCATCCTATTTGGCTCTTTTGAACTTCTGATGCGCTCTACCACACACACACACACGACAGAGCTGCAGATCCATTGCATGAAATCAACTAACCAGAATGCCAATCCCACGTTTGCATGCACGACATGCAAACAAGTAACTTCTTACTGTTAACTTGTCACTGTGCACAGGCGCGTCTTGTCATACCAAAGCATTAAAGACGGTTTTTTATTATTTGCTTAAGTGAACAACTCATTAATGGCGAAATTGCTGGTGCTGAAATACACCCAACTGGCTAGAAAAGTCCTCGGTGTCTCCTGTACCGAATGGAATATCACCTGAATTGACGTCTTCTACCTTCGTTATTGAGGGAGAGTGCGGTTGATTTCCAATAACCGACGCTTGTGGTTGGCAGTATTGTTGTTGTTGCAGGTTTTCAGCAGGGTCCGTTGACGCTAGACTAGTATGCGGAGTGGACATGCTGGAGTATTTCTCTGCTGTTACTCTTGTGCTTATCGCATTAGGAATGTGATCGTTTCCATGAATGCAAGGTGCTTGTAGCTGCTTCAAGTCTGTGGGTGAAGCGGATTGCCTTGTAGTTATGCCTTTCCCCTGATGCACAGCAGATCGACCATTCCTGGGAACGAATTCATCCTCTGATTCAGGCTCGTCCTCAGCGTCTGGTCGCTCCCCCCGACCAAATCGGAGCGGAGGCAAGCCCTGTTCTCCAGCTTGCTCATGTTCCTCTCCTGTAGCGGCTTTAGCGACCGTACTTTGAAGCGAACCTTCTAGTACCGCACCTGGGTTTAGCCATGGAGGTGAGTGAGGAGGCCGAGGTGTAGGAGCCACAATGTCCAATGATTGTTCACCTGATTGAAAGGATGCAGGCATTGTGTTTCTGTACGAGTTATCAAGAACCATCTCCTGCGATGGAGGATAAGGCAACGATGGAGTTCTTCTGGGGGATCCACCTGCTCCATGATGTATAATAGATCCTTGCCTTGGGAGACGGTGTAGATATCTATAAGCAAAAATAAAAAATAAAAAAAAAAAAAAAAAAAATCGAGCATTAACTGACATTGAGATTCCTTAGGATATAATAATCAAAATAGCATTTCTGAGAACTTCGTACCCGTAGCCAACATCACATCCCAGCAATCCTTCTCCGCCCCATTCTTCATTTGGTATGATGACAATCTATAGAATGCAAATAATAACGACATGATTAATATTGAGGCATTATATGCATCCACAAGAAAAACATATCGAGTGGTGCTCTACTTGCCTCTCTGACATGGTCTGTTTCGGAATTATATACATGCAAGCGAAGTGGCTCGCCTATATTGTCCTCGATGAGATCATATAGATCCCCTTCGCCTCGCATAATGCCATAAGGTGTGCCAATAACATAGTCCGTATGCGCGCACAGTCCTGCCTTTTCAGCTGGTGACCCATGAGCAACATCCTATTGAATGACAAAGCGATTTTTGTCGTTAACATATGTGCAACCCACACATGGTACTCACAAGCTGATTAGCATCATTAGTACCAGAATATGCCAGACGACATCATTCGCTGCATCAAACATGCAAAATCGAATGCTACATCCGATCAATCCACCTTTTCCATCCCCCCAGTTCCTTGTAGGGATCATCTCAACTCCTATTTTTGATAAAAACATGGGATCATATATGATCAGTGTACAATGTAGTAGCCGAACAAAAGACAAGGTTTTTCACTAAATCAGCTGCCTACTTCTACCAGCTTGCTCTCGAGTCGAATAAACATCTAGCATGACAGGTCTGCCTTCGTTCGCTTGCATCTGTTCTTGAAGATAGGTACTTTCGGTGTTTAGACGCACACCATTAATTGCCACAATGTAGTCAAAAAAAGGGCGGATGCCTGCCTTGAATGCGGGGGAGCCCTCTTTGACCTTCATGATCAACGAAGAATTGGATATCCAGACAAGTAGTGAGAAACCGAGGTAACGCGTAAGAACGCGCACTAAGTACAAGGCTCGCGTAAGGTGGTCAATAATTCTTTTAACTTGAGATTAAAGTTGTTTTACCCTGAGGACATGATATCCCAGGCGGTGTCGACCCTCCTCCCCAGAAGTTGTGTTTCCCATGTTCCGACGCAGACTCTTGGCTGGTAATGTTTAATGGGTGAGAAAAAATTGTTCTAAATGAGATTACATTCTGTCTGCTTCTTGGGAGCTTCACGTGACCAATGGTATACTCCAAAAGGAGGCAAATGGTAATTCAAGTTCTTGAGAAAAAGGCCCTCATAGATGCAACATGTGCTTGCTCCCCAAGCTATGTGAAAGCACCGCTCCGCCCATGCTTAAAGAAGCTATTAGCAAGTTACCGAGCAATGAAAAGTTCAAGCACTTTTCCCTCTTATTGACGTGGTTGGCGAGAATAATGGATACAACAGTGATTATGATATTAACTATCATATTGCTCTGATGCTATGCTCCATCAGTCTAATAAGCACGATACAGATCGCTTATCTTACCTATAGCCCTCCTTCTAAAGAAGCGGTCGAAATGACAACGAAAAACTAAAGATCAATGGTAGACATAACATGACCTTGTCGTCCATGTGTGTCTCCATTTCAGACAGAAATACATGTTGAGCTTGTTACTGATAGATGAGAGAAAATTTTAAGTATGACAAAATTTGACAGTTGCAACTTCATCTTTTTCTTTGAATCATTATTCATCACATCATCAAAAAAAAGATCCTTCGTGTTAAAAAATGTCATCTACAAGAGTGCCTTTGACTGAAAGGCCAAAAGACCTTGCCATGTTTATTTACTTTGTCACGCATATCCCTACTACTATATTAATGGATATAGTCCCGCTGTACCCAAGCTTCATGAAGCCCTATGTCCAACCGTTGGTTCAGTTCACTGGTAAATATTCAGTGTTTTACTAGACTTTTCTCTGAATCATTTGACATGAACGCTGAAGGACATTTTTTTTTTTTTTTTTTTTTTTTTTTAATTTACCCATACAATTCAACAGAGTATTATGTCGACACCTACAAGGACCCATTTATTGCAGATAGATCTCTCATTTGGTTTAACACGTTTTTGCACATGGAGGGACTTATTCAATTGCCTATCTTTTTCTTTGCTGCTTGGGGCTTATACCACAATAAGAGAAGTATTGCTCTGTGGATCTGCGTTTATGCTGCTCATGTTATCACGACGGTATTGCCTTGCATCGCTACCCTGAACTTTGGCACGGCTAAGGATTTCCCATTCCATATCACGGATAAACAAAAACTGTTTTTGATCAGTCTTTACACGCCATGGTTCTTGTTCCCAGCCTGGATGTTGTATGAATGCTTTCACCGTGTCCGATCTAACGAAAGAAGTATTGTCTCCTCCCAGGCCGACAAAAAACAACAATGACGATGATCCATGACGAGGACGAAAACATTTGTTCTAGATGCTATTAGCTACGCGCATGAATTAAACGAGTAGATAGTTGGCATATCTGTACGTGTGTGTAATTTGATTCTTTTTTGTGCCAAAGCGTGGGTGTTTTTTCTTTTTTGGTGTTTATTGATGCAGGGTGCTTGACTAGCTCAAATATCAAATAAACATCCCAGCTTGTTGGGGCAACACATTCCTTTTTTTTTTTTTTTTTTTTTTTTTTTTTTTCGCACACATTTTATTTTCTCTCTCCACAACCTGTCCACACTTCTGAACATTACATCCACTTCGTTGCTATTCACAATGACCACTGTCAAAAGTAGATTCGACGCTACCTCTACAGGCGCTCAGCAACAAACAGATGATCCTTGGCTATCGACTTATTCACGAGCACTCTGCTCCATTTATCCTAAAGACGAGGAGGACTGTTGGGATTACCTTCTTTCTTCACAACCCACAAGTGTCTTTTCAAAGTCACTTGATGAGTCCACTCAGCCTTCTAGTATCCCGAATAAAGCTGACAGGCCACTGTTAGGCAGTTCAGAGAAGATGAGTAGTTCTCCCTCCAATATGTTATCGCTTTCATCCTCCTCGATTTCACCACACCCAATGGACTCTGGCAGTACAAATTTAAGTAGTAGTAAGGGTATTGATTCACTACTCGCACCTTTGAGTCCTGGAAGCATTCCCCATACGTTATGCAAAATTGGATTTGACTGTATTGACTACTTCACATCCACACAAGACGATCTGGAGTCCGAAGTCCCTAAGCCAACATCCTCACCCAATAATCCCCACATGACCGGTCCAGCATATACAAGTCGTATGCTAGAATGTCTCAATGAAGCTGATTGGAGGACTGATATTGCTGCTGCAGTCTGCGGCAAGCGGACTGCGGCTCTTGAACGAAAACGAGCTCTATCACGGACCACAAGTCAAGAAGATGTCATGGCTACATCTGAAACTTTTGCGAGTGACGATCCCTGGTTACAAACACTTGATCGACTGGCACGGTGGGAGGAGGTAGCCTATCGCTGATTCTTTTAATAAATTTCTCCATAAAGTTATATTGAACTTTGTTCGTGATTTTTATACTCACCTTAAAGGTTGAGTTGCAGAGTTTTTGATGTGCTCTATCAGTTGTATATACTCTCTATGCACCAGCTCTTTCACAACTTATGCCGTTTCATTTAGAAAAATGATTAAGACATAAGTGAATGAACAGTTTTAATTGACTACTATTCAATTCAAGTAATCAACATTATCCAACGCTTGACATAAGGAAAGAGGATATTCAAATTGTTGCTACATCTTAATGAGAGGAGTCATAGAATTAATTCAATTTGAAATGTAGAAATCTTATTATGATATCACTTTGTTCAATACTTGGGCAAAGCCTCGGAAGGTACCCTTAATTTTTTTTTTTTTTTTTTTTTTTTTTTTGCTCCACGTTACTTGTAAACAACGCCTGTGTGAATCTCTACAGTTTGCATCTCTCGCTACCTGAAGTATAAACCATCGTCATGTCAACCTCAGTTAGTGTCTCAGTAAGCTCATGTAAAGGCTCTAGCTCCCGACTACTCGTTTACATTGATTGTAAGCGACCCATGAGGCTCGGTCAAGCGACTGGCAAAAGCGTGCCCTCTTACATGCAACAAAAACGCCTTGGACACACATGGATCTCGGGCCACCCTCATAGTATCCTTTACAAACCTTTTACACCCTGCAATAAGACTGCTGTAGCCGGAAAACGAAATAATATCAGCAAATGTAGCACTGGTACAAGTGAAATCCATGGTTTGAACAACAATGGAAGCTCGTCATCCTTCTCTTCCTTTTTCTTGGACTTTGCTGGAAACAGCCGCTATCAAGCTTATAACCTTGCACGCTTCTCAACATTCTCAGTTGCATCGTCGCCCTCATCACCAGCTTCATCACTAAAAGCTTCATCCTCGATAAAAACGTCCGAGACAAAGGATACCGATGCGACACAGGGCACCGGTGACAAAACTTCTACAGGTTCCAGTACGGAAGGATCTCATTCAAACTCCGCAACGGCCGATTCACAATCACCATCAACTTCAACTTCCACAACTGCATTCAACAATGAACAACACTATGACGATAAGGACGATGCCTGGGCAGTTAACGAAAGTTATTCAGGACACAGTGGCCACAGTTTTTCGTCGTTGTCGACCCCCACAGCAACTGCCCATCCTGATGCGACTTCAGAGTCTTCATCATCAACATCTATTTCGAATGGTACGATATCAAGCAGTGGAGCAAAGGACGAAATTGATGTCGATTATAAAGAGTCTCAGGTGCTGCCACAACCATCAATGTCTTCATTTAAAACTCCTGCTGCTATTCAAGCGTCATGGCACCGCACTTCCGAATCCTTGCCTTCTGTGACTACCCCGAATGGAACTTCAGTCTTATCAAACTCTTCGAGTAAAGCAGGAGGGCTCGATCTGAGTTCCAGTACACTTGTTCAACAAATGCTCTTTAAGGAGCGTGTACCCCACGTAGATAGTTCAGACGATGAGGAAAATAGTTGGAGGAAGTCAAATCAAGGTAATCTAATGGACAGCAGTTATAAATCTCAAGAGCAGCTAAAAAATCCAAACTCACCTATTCAGCATGGCGATGACAGTCATTCGGTCTGGGATGATGTGGATCATTTGCTGGAACAAAAGCGAAGCCATGCCTGAGATATGTACATTTTTGAATAACTCATCAGAGTCACATCGTGCCTATAATTGTTGTGTCTTTGATTGCAAGCACACTACAATAAAATTTTTTATTGGATGTTGTATATGGGACTTGTCAATAGTGCTTTAACATGCTTTTATCCTCTATTACCTAAATACTCTGGTTTGTAGAAAATTTTACAGACAACAATGAACCTGACGAGGGGACTGCCATAACAATGGGTTCTTCTGCTGTGAGTCCTTCATTGACGTCGATGATACTTAATCAAGGCAATAGCGCTGAGCCCCACTTAAGTGATGCAGTAACCGCCATCGTCAAGGATCAAAACAATAAAGCGAAAGCTGAAGATGGATCTAATGAGGAAGATCATATTTCAAAGCTAGATATTAGAGTTGGTATTGTCCGCTCAGTTTCGGCACACCCAGGTGCTGAATCTCTTTACATTGAGCAAGGTTAGAAGATCCAATCATACGTAGCTCTACGATACACGTTGCAGCTGAAAGCAGTAATTGATTTATTTCTTGCTGCCATTTAATTCTCAGTGGATTTAGGCGACAAAGAAGCCGACGTGCCAAAGGAACCTAGAACCATTGTCAGCGGTCTTGTGCGTTATGTCCCCAAGGATTATCTAGAAGGCCGCGCTGTAATTGTAGTTGGAAATATGAAGCCATCCAAGCTACGAGGCGTTGTATCAGAGGGTATGCTTTTATGTGCCATGGAGCAGGACTTGAATGGCGAGGTCATCAAAGTGGGGTTATTAGAGCCTGCAGAAGGGAGCCGGCCAGGAGATAAGATCACTTTCGAGGGATACACTGATGAAGGTCAGTGTTTTTACATGGGATGTGACCACGCTATACTCTTTCAAGTTATTTATTTTTATTTTATCCACGTTATGCTAATTCTGTCCGTGTGTTAACGATTCCAAATAGCCACTATACCAGCAGCTGTACTTACTCCAAAACGCAAATGGTTTGAGAAATCACGTGTGCATTTCTATGTCAAAAATGGTGTCGCATACTACAAGGGGTCTCCTTTTAAATCAGCTCAGGGCCTTGTTCGCTGTAAAACTATTTCTGAAGGACAAATATCGTAGAGTCAGCTCATCTAGTTGATATAGGTTCTTGGCGACACTTTTGTAGAACATGACAACATATTAGACTGAAATTGAAATTGTGAAAATTGTTGGTGGCTCGAGCACCAGGATGCTTGTGATTGGCCCATAATTAGGACTGGTTTAGGATGGCGAAATTTTTTTGATTCATTTCTGATGCGATTGCGCCATCCTATCGCTCAAAAAAATTCGCCCAAACGGAGGCTGTGTGTGGAAGGGACTTGAATCTTGTCCCTGGCATCTGTTTCTCTTCATCATTCTTTTTTTTTTTTTTTTTTTTTTTTTTTTTTTAAAAAAAAATCTCCTTCGTCCATTCTTTTCATGATTTTTCCTTAAAATTACCCCTTCATTATTTTTACACTTTCTTGCTTTCTTACCGACTCTTGCCATATCATTACCATCTCTTCTTATCATTTGTTCCGTCCGCTCTTTCAGTAGACATGAACTACGATTCCCTTCTAGACTCATCCGAGTGGCTAGCTCCTTCGCTCTGCCTCAATGCCGATGCAAATGAAGACCTTGCACCTGTTCAACCTACAAAAGACAATCTATTACCTGCCTCTTTTCCCACTCTCACCTGGTCTAAACAATCCTCTGATATGAACAATGCAGAAAAGGCAGAAAAGCGACTGTGTTATCGGCACAGACCAGATTTGCGGTCTAAGCGAGCAGCGGACGAGATTCAACTCGAGGCATTGCAACAAGTATGTTTGAGTTATGCTTATACTCGTACTTTGTCTTCAACGCAGTATCAATTCGAAAATGCGACTGAATACCCAGTATTAATATTTTACTTTTGTTTTGGCGTCTATAGGATATTGGGCGTCTGCCACAGCAAGATCAACAAATCATTTCTCATATTTGGTCTCTCTTCGGATCTGCACCAGCTGGTCATCGTCAGTTGGTTCTTAGTGGTCTGCTTACCCAATGTTGTGTTCCTCAGCTTTCATTTCTTTCAAATCACCTTCAGCCTTTACTCCGAATCGACTTCCTGACCATCCTTCCAACCGAAATTACACTTCGTATTCTTTCTTACCTTGATGCCAAGTCGCTTTGTCATGCAGCCCAAGTATGCAAGGCATGGAGGCGCTTAGCAGATGATGATGTTGTATGGCATAGAATGTGTGAACAGCATATTGGCCTGAAATGTACAAAGTGTGGTTGGGGCCTACCACTCTTGGAAAAGAAGAAAGTTAGATCAAGGCGTCAATCAGAACAACAACGCCAGCAGCAACAATTTCAAGCAAGTCAGGACAGTCAAGATGAAAGTGATCTAGAGATACACCCGTATGTGGCTCATTCACTGCCATATCAGCCTGCGTCAACCACAGCTTCACTTCCATCCCCCCCGGCATCCCTCTCTCCTACAGAAGAACGAGTATCATATAGCTGGCCTGGCAGGCGGCGTAGGGCATCAAGTGATTTCGAGAATAGGGGACGACTACTGAAGCGTGCTCGCAACGACTTAAGGCCATTATCTCCGGACTCCGATGACATAAGTAGCTGTCCAACGCCCTTATTCCAATCTCCAGAACCGCCAGCTAAACCTTCAGGAGCAACAAAACGGCCATGGAAAGAGATTTATTCAGAACGCCTGATCGTTGAACGCAACTGGAGGAAACGAAATTGCAAAGTGAGGGAGTTCCGTGGCCACACTGATGGAGTCATGTGTCTACAATTCGATGACACTTTCCTTATCACTGGGTCCTATGATAACACGGCCAAAGTCTGGAACATCGAGACTGGCGAGTGCCTTCGCACTTTGAAGGGACATGCTCTTTGTGTGCGAGCACTCCGCTTTGATGAAGCCAAGCTTATTACAGGATCCATGGATCGCACTCTTAAGATTTGGAACTACCACACTGGACAGTGCATTCGCACTTTACAGGGCCATACCGATGGCGTCGTCACACTTGATTTTGACTCACGTATTCTGGCTTCTGGATCGGTAGATTCAACAATCAAAATCTGGAATTTTGCGACCGGAGAGTGTTCAACACTCAAAGGGCATACTGACCTTGTCAACAAGGTACAGATTTATAAGAAGACTATGCTCTTCTCTTGCAGCGACGACACTACTGTTAAGCTTTGGGATATTGCCTCTAGGGCCTGCATTAGAACATTCACTGGTCATGTTGGCCGTGTGCAATCCTTGCAAACCTCAAGGGATGCATTGATCTCTGTTCTCGCAAATAGGCGACATGTCAGGTCGACTAGTGGGGCATTATCGCCAAAACTCCTCGAAAGTGGTCGCCAGTCACCATCCTATGACGGTACCTCATCTGATGGCGAGATGCGGACAATGATGCCTATTGTTGTAACTGGCGGGCTTGACAATACACTCAAGGTTTGGAACGCAGAGACAGGAGAGTGTCTTAATACGCTTTTTGGTCACGAAGAGGGCGTTTGGAGTCTAGCCTTTGACAAACTCCGTGTTGTCTCTGGAAGTCTTGATAAGACAATCAAAGTGTGGGACACAGAAAGCGGTGAGTGTCTGTACACACTACCTGAACCAGAAGGCCCCGTCACTTGTGTGGATCTCGGAGACACTAGAATTGTGGGAGGATCAGCGAATGGCAATGTTCTTATGTGGGATTATGGTGTTCGTTTGTAGTCAGAGTAAATCTTTTATAAAACTGTATTTTATTTGTAAAATAAATTGTATTTCTCCGATTCGTGGAGCATCAAAGTAAAGTTAGTTTAATAATTAATGGGTGGATAGATTATTTCACTACAGATGGCAAAAGAGGGACTGACGCATATTGCCAACCCTGGGCGCCACCGAAAATTGGCTGTTTGTATGAGAGACTGCTGGCATGACAAGCCTGTGCTTATCGGGTCTCTTTTGAAAGAGAACCCGGGTCAAGTAGACACAGGCGATGTTTTCCGCTTCGATCACGTTGCGGCCGAAGCAGATTTGGCAAACTGGGATAGTATTTTGAGCGCGGCTTCGAGGAAGCTGCATTGGGTAGCTCACACTGGTAATCTAATGGCCAAGATATTTTGTTTATTCGAACCGTCGTTGTTATTAACAGTGATGATAATAATACACCATTCAAAATCATCGAATTACCCGCTACATCAAGTGGCGTATATGGATGGAAGCTTGGTAATGGTATTTGAGTTACGCAAACAGCTGCTCATCTAGTATGCGCCACCAAAATTACAAGTGCGGCAATTGTGATATCTCAGCCACACCAAGGAATCTTGTAGCGTGCTCATTTTTGCGAAATCATTAATCCTTCTCATACCTCTCGTATAAAAACACGCACAATGTCTGCCATTCTCAACACTCTGACTAAAGTCGCCATCCCTATTGGAGCTACTGTGTCATTCTTACAGTACAGCATGTACGATGGTAAGCTCTTTTTATACGCAACCAAGCATCAAGACACAATTTGATACAGCTCGGCCTACCTAATCCCGAGAATGCACTGGGAATCCCTACTACTTTCTCTCACACGTTTCTGAAAAAACTGGAATACTGTCCTATCCTTTTCAATTCAACACTTCAACAGTTTCCGCTACTACCTAAGAACCAGGGATCGTATCAACAAGGGTTGTAAGACGACCCACCCTTTAAATGTGGGGCATGACTGCCCTGAAAACGCAAAATTATTGGAGGGCACGTAAACATTGTGGCTTACGAAGACCAATATTTGAGACTAGATTGGCGGCGTATGTAAAACCAACAAAAGTCTGACCATCCTGCAGAAACATTAGAACAATATATTTTTAAGACTGGTGACTGGGATCTATATTTGAAATAGCAGCCGTTTTTTTCACTAGAGAATGATGGCTTTGGCGAATATCTCTTAGACAACTTGCGTTATTAATTTTTTTTTTTTTTTTTTTTTTTTTTTTTTTTTTAAAAAAAAAAAAACAATAATAGTTCAGGGAGGATACCGTGCTGTCATTTTCGACAGGCTAGAGGGAGTTAAGCCCAACCCTGTGGGCGAAGGTACGCATTTTTTGATCCCTTGGCTGCAGCGCGCCATTCAGTTCGACGTCCGCACTAAGCCCCGCAACATTTCTACAACAACCGGGTCCAAGGATATGCAGATGGTGACTTTGACTCTTCGTGTCCTTCACCGCCCTGATCTCAAAAATCTTTCTCAGATCTACCAGGGCCTCGGATTGGACTATGATGAACGTGTTCTACCCTCAATCGGTAACGAAGTCCTGAAGTCAATTGTAGCTCAATTTGATGCTGGTGAATTAATTACTCAGCGCGAACTTGTTTCCTCTAAAATCCGCGAGGACCTCGCCAAGCGCGCAAGAGAGTTCCATATTGAGCTTGAGGACGTTTCGATTGTAGGTATAATGTTCTATTCTTTGACACAAGTCGGATAATCTTAATGTATACGACGACCACTACTAAAAATTATTTTCTGTTTTGTATCTTGTCTGCATAATAGACCACTATGACATTTGGTCGCGATTTCACCAACGCTGTTGAGCAGAAACAGATCGCCCAGCAAGAGGCCGAGCGTGCCAAGTTCATTGTCGAAAAAGCAGAACAAGAGAAAAACGCCTCGATTATTAGAGCCGAGGGTGAAGCGTACGTTAGTTGTAGCCCACCTTATCGTCCAAGCTTGGCTCTCATTTATGACTGTTGCTAATTCCATTTTTTTAAAAATATTTTCCTTCATTCTTCAAGCCATGCTGCTGAGATTATTTCCGCATCTTTGGAGAAGGCTGGTGCCGGATTGATTGAGCTTCGTCGTATTGAGGCCTCCAAGGATATCGCTGGCACCCTGGCCAATGCTAAAAATGTTACCTACCTCCCTAACCAGAAGGGTAACAACATGTTGTTGAATATCCCTGTTTAAACATAGCATGGGGGTTTAGGGACGTCTGGACAGGAGGAGTTGCAGGGCTGCAACCGCCTAAAATTGAATTTTAGAAACATCATTAAAGCCAATCATTTCTTATGAATGTTGTGACAGCTGGTTTGTTTCAGTGTTGAATTAAAAGTGAAATAGAAGGTTGACTATTGCCACGGTATCACCACAGGCTCATCGGTTTGTTCTTGACATTCAACGATCCACATTTCTGGCGTAGTAACAAATAGAAAGTCGTCATGGCGGTTCCGTCGCTTCTCCAACTTGAAGAGGCATGTCACATGGATTAACTCCAGTCATTAAAGATCATGGTTGCCTCTGCAATCCGATTAACAATTGGGACTTTCTTCTTCAGACTATGGATAATACAATGACGTGTTTTCGATGTGGCAAAAAGCTTTCAATGATTTTAACATATTTCGGGTCCAATATAGGTGATCCAACAATTTTATGCGGGTCAGGATTCAGCTTACCAAAAATCGGCACAGGAGTATCTTCATAATTTGCAAAAGGAACCATTTGCTTGGGAACTGGCGCCTCGTCTGCTCTCATCTCAGGTACATTTGACAATCCTACATATAATCATTTTCGTACCTTCACCACGTTTCAGCAACTGAAACTACTTGTAACTCCTTCGAGTAGAGTGAGAACAGTCAGTTTTTTGGTGCACATACCTATCAAGTCAAAATTGCAAGGGATTGGTAAGCTTTTCGGTCAGAAATGAGGCATGTGGTACAGAAAAGGTGCTTCAGGAAGATCTCATCAATAGTCCTTACAAACATTGTTTGCCTCATTACACAGGAAAACAATTCCTGAGGATAGGATTGAATGGGTGCGCGGGGAGCTAATTAGATGGATTGCTCGCTACTCTAATGGGCCAGCTTTCATCCGAACAAAGCTATGCTTGGCAGTAAGTCACTCGTTTGAGTAAAACGTTTGATTAACCCCCAATTGATGTCTATACTCCCTGGCACTGAAAGTTACTTGCCTGATTTATATCAACAAAAAAAAAAAAAAAAAAAAAAAAAATAGCTATCGGCATATGCCATTCGTGCTGTTCCCACATATTGGTCAGACTTCATTCGCAGCTTCTACCAGGACCTTCATGCACATCTCAATCAAAATATTGATGGTGTATTCATGTCACAGCAAGCAATGGAGGCTGCGTTACTTGATTTTATGACAATTGTTGCTGAGGAACTTAGTCGTGCTGAGATTGAACCCATGCAAAGGTTCGAAGACTTTTACTGCAATAATAGATCGTAGTTATAGGCGGTTAGATACCAGGAAATGAAACCGATGTTACTGTGGTTATTGAAATTACTCTTCCCGTTCTTATGTCCTACACGATCGAAAAACAATAGGAGTCGGTTGTCTGGCGAAGTATCGACAGGTATTCCATTGATCATGTCCTTTATTCAGAAAATCCTCGTTGGCAACGATTCCGCATCTAAACAGAAGGCTCTTATATGCTTCAAGAGTTGGGTTCAGTATGGAGTCGCTTTCGAGTAAGTCTATTGCCCAGTATATAATTTGGAAATACCTTCATATCTACGTACTGCTTGAAAGGACCAAACTCTGGTTATTATTCACAAGAAACTCATTGTTGATGTCTTCAATATGTTGGCAGCGTAATTCAGCCTGTTTTGGGTTTGGCATTAAACTCCTTGCTGCATGACGAGACATTCGATGCTGCAGCAGATGTTTGGTCAGAAATCATGTCTTCTACAGCTGCGGCAAAGCACCAAAATACTGTCTGCGAAGGCCTGATGCCGTGCTTTGCAAGCGAGTGGGCGAGGGCTAAACATCTAGAGTCTATTCAGGGTATGTATAGCTGTGTTATTATTAGCATGGTATATTCCAACTGTCTAATCCCTTTTCTTTTCCAATGTTAGCTGAAAATGAAGATATCAGTAAAAGTTTGTGTCAGCTCCTGTCAACGTTCGGGGACAATTTTTCAGATTGGATTGCTGCCAGATTCCTTAGGTCAGATATTGTGGTCTACCTAGAGATGATGATGGGTTTCGCAGGATTCCCTGGATACTACGCCGAAGATGAGACAATTAGTGATTTAACTCTCAATTTCTGGTATATGCTTCAGGAATCCTTAAGTGAGTTACAACCTGATGACGCAGATGATGAAGATCAAGGCGGTATGATGAGTCATGAAAGCTTGGATGATGACCGGCATGTAATCTTGTCAACCATTTCGTCTGCGTCCTCCATCACTGGTCTGAACAAAGAATCCCTGCAAACAATCAAGGAAGCCTCGGTCCATGTTTATACCCGATTAGCAGAAGTTCTCAGGAAAAAGTTGGAATATCCACCACACAAGGAGTGGATATCATGGGCGCGAGACATCAGACAGGAATTTACTGGTCACCGACAAGAGATTGCAGATACTTTGATCAACTCATACCATGTCCTTCATGATCAGATATTGTCGCTACTTATAGACACATGTATCATTCAGCTGGACGAAATTGGAAAAGTCTCAATATCAGGTAGCGACATTAATGAAAACTTACCGCTAGAGACGGCTTTTCTGCATCTGGAAGCGACTCTTTATTGCCTGAAAGCTTTATCAGAGGTGGTACCGCATAGTGAGAACATACAACTGCCTCGCTTCTTCAGTAATCAAGTGTTTGGAAGGCTCCCTACAAATGTCATATGTCGAGCTCGTGAAACTGCTCTGGGCCTTGTTGGTAAAAAATGTCGCGAACTTTTCTGCCGGAGCATAAATCACTAAAATTCATCCAAGAAGTACTTAGTTTGTGATTCGTTCACTCCGTTTTAATAGGCTCCTACGCAGATTGGTTCAAATCCCACCCTCAATTCTTGCTGTCGAGTTTAAACTTTGTCATTCCAGCTCTTGAGGTTCCTCAACTAGCACCATATGCAGCCAAGGCTCTCAAGAATATATGCGATACATGCCGCGAGTTGCTTGTGGAGGCCATTGATGCATTTATGACTGTGTTTGCGAACGTAGAGCGCGCTATCGATCCTGCGATCAAAGGCAGCGTTGTTTTCTCAATCGCGACTGTCATCCAAACTTTGCCTGTGGAACGCAGCATTAACCCACTTGTGGTATGATAGGCGCCTATGTTACTCAAAGATGAAACTGATTTACCAGGCCTTGACCCTAACCAAATGCTTGATGTCTAGGGCCTATTGGGTGACATCTTTACAAGATCAAATGAATGTCTCGAAACTAGGAAGCAGCGTTTAGCAACTGGCGGTAACGAACTTACCGCTACGCATCATCAAGGTGCTAATGGCGAAACAGAATTGGAGCCACTTTCAGCCATGATGTTGCAGCAGCTTGAATTCCTATTGTCATGCTGCCGTGGACTCCAGTCGCCACTTGAAGAAGAGATCCGGACTGAGGACGAAAGAATCCAGATTTATCAAAAATCAATAGAGGATAGGAACAAAGTACTAGCTACAGGAGGCATGGCAGTCGAGTTGACGCGGTCTATGGAGCAAGTTATCCAAGGAACTATCATGGTTTGGCCGCATGAACCGATAATTATTGAGGTAAAAATATAGGGTCGTCTGTAAGAGTTTGTAACTCCATAAACTGCCTATCTACTCACACTGAAATAATTCCATTATGTTGCGCTATTTAGAAGGTGTGCCAAGTCGTGAAGTCCATGATGACAGTATCGCAATTCTCTCCGCTGTATCTTCCGTTTCCCACCTTAATCCATATTGTCGAAACCGGGTTTCGACAGCATGCTTTTCCATGCTGGCTTGATGCAGCTGCTAAGATTGTATCTGTGTATTACTTTGAAACTACTGGAGGTTCATTATTTTCCAAACTTGGGTCTGGTGCTGCTGCGACTAGTTTAAATGAGAGTTCAGCCTCAAGTTTATTTGACCGTAATGGGAAATCATCCATGGTGCAAGTAGTGGATTTGGAAGCCCATTCAAACTCCATTAACATGCCTATTAAAGCAAGAACTCAGGCAGAACTAGAGAGTGAGACTGTGTTCACACATTTTCTATCAGCCCTTGTGAGTCGTACCATGGAAGGAATACAGTCTATGGCGAGTATGTTTTATCCTTGTTTTTATTTATTCTTTCTTTCTTTTGCAGAAAAATGATCTGAAGTCTGACACGAATATTCCAAACAATCTAGACATGGAGGAAAGCCCGGACATTGTTCACTCATTCTTTGCAGTTCTATCGCAGGTATGAGGCCAAATGACTTTGACTCAGTTTGCTGCGATGTAGCTTTGCATTATGCTATTTTAAACTGAATACTTACCATCGTGGTACAGTTCGTTCGCCATGCACCGCTTGCATTCTATAGTATCCCTCCAGAGCAAACAGATAATTTGATGAACTTTGCCATAGCAGGACTTGCCCTCCAGGAACGCCTGGCATTAAAGGCTACATTATTATTCTTGGTAAAGCATGACATTAAAATAACTATGATCATAAATGCTTTTTTAATGCAACTAATTTAGGCTTGTCATATTGTTATCGAGCAGGTAGAGTTCGTTAACCAGAACCATGACTACCCTGCGTTGCAGCAACGAGTAGATGCACTCATGACCCGGATAGGACCTCAGATGATGCGTGGCATTCTGTTTGTGAGTTGTTTTTTCGCGCTCCCTCTATTATGCTATAATAATGAAAGATGACCCGTTAAACTTACCCATCTGTCTTTGCCCTAGGGTATTGGTGGACATGTTCCTAGGAGTATGGTGCCACAGTTGAATGATACGCTATACCCACTCATTGGAAAATATCCTCAGCAATGCCGTAACTGGATGCAGTCCTTACTTGCAGAGGTAGCATAGAGTCCTTTGCTTTGATGCTTATTTGAAAAATGCAAGCAGTCGAACTCACCCTGTTGTTATTTAAACATTAGCCTGGCTTTCCGTCCAAATATGCAGATCAAGCATCCAAAGAAAAGTTCATCAAAGGCATCATGGGGTATGTACATTATTTAAAACCCTGTATTTAAACAGAAAATAATATCATAGATATTTGTATAGTTATCAATTCTTGGCCAATTTTTTCCACACTATGGCCTGCTAGAACTCGGAGCCCCAAACGGTTTAAAGATGAGGTTCATCAATTCTCCAATAAGTGTCGGCAATTAGACGGATCTGTGTTTGGCTCTGCAATTTAATAATTTATAGCATCTTCCTTTTCTGGAGGGACTCGTATCCAACCTACACATGCTTCCCAGCTTTGAAACGGATCATAGCTCCAGCATAATCAGGACACTGCTTATATGAGACTCCTGAATGAAATAAGTAGTTCTGCGTAAAATGGTTATAAAAGGCCTCTTTTCCTTCTTTTCGTTCTTTTGAATTGTTGATTATTTAAGAATCCTTGCTACCACGTCCGGAAATGATTCTAGGATATATGTCGTAGAATTTATTGGTTTTGTAATTGCTGTTGGAGTTACACTATGGTAGAAGTTTGAGGGGATGCTGTCCTCCCATACTGGAAAATGTAATGCCAGCCTTGTTCAGGCCATAAAAAGTCCGGGCGATGACAAATGGGTACTGTCATTTATGGATCTCTTAAGTACGTTATTCATATGTTTAGTGAATCTATTGGTTCTTTTCTAGTTCCTATAGTTTGCTCTGGTGAAGCACAAGACCGCGGGAGATTCTGTCCCCCAAATGACATGTAAATTTGCCACAAAGCAGGGTGAATAGCATCTTTCGTCTTTCAAACATTTATTTTTCTCTTTGGGAATAAAACGAATCTTATCATTAATTACCGTAGCTATTGTTTTTTATCGGCTTCAACTAAGGTTTCGCACAAATGCTATCAAAAAACCTTTTAGTGGTGTAGCCCTTGCTAAAAGACGTATACATCTTTTGTCAGGAAACGGAAAATAATTTACTCAATTTAATATACTTTTGGTGATGACTCAATGTCTTATCCATCGTCATGGCTCTCTTCCATGAACTCGGTTTCAGTATTTCAGGTCTCCTTGATTCTGACATGCCTCTTAACTACCGCTGACCAAAGTTAAGTACTCTTCAGTGCCTATAGCCGTATTAAAGCATCGAAGCAAATGCACTGCCACAAGGTCGTTTCTGGATCCAACTCGCATATTCCAACAAGCTTTATTCGAGCTATGCATCGCTATATAAAAGAGGTATATATTTATCCTTATTCCGCAATCCTTATCATACCTCCACCGCCCCTCCCTTTTTCTCCTCTTTCTGGGAAACACACAGGTGGAGATCACAAATCAAGAATGCTCGCTTTTACTACAGAAACAAGCGCAAGAGCGTGCTCTTGCTCTGGATGAATTGCGGTGACTGATTGCATCGAATCTAAGCCTGGACAATATAGCGGCATGTGCACTCGTCTCGAAGCAATGGCACCAGGACTGGAACCCAAGGTTATGGAGAGATATCCGCACGCATGTGCACTGCGATTTTATACGTCATGGTCACGGTTAGCACCTTAACATGGTCAAGCCTAAGGATTCCCAAGACCGGGGAACCATCATAGGCCACTGTCCTAATCTACAATCCCTCAAATTTGTAGACTATAATCTGACACCTGCAGAGTTTGACTATCGAATATTTGGGATCCAGTCAATTATACTACCATCGCTGCAACAGTCTCTATCCGCTTCCACCACCGAAGGTCAACAAGAAACTTTAGAGCCACCACATCTTGAAACGTCACCTAATCCATTTACAGATGGCTCTCGGGCAATTAACGGCGGCTTTTGACCGATAGTCAATTATTTGAACTCCACTTGCCACCCATTGTTTGTGAGTTTATCTTGCCGCGACTCATTCAGGCCGGTCATGCTGGTTGATATCAAGGGCTAGAATCGTTTTCCATGGGTCGGGCAGTTATGTTCTACACTTGTATCGAAATGCCGCCAGAAAGAACCATTTACGTCAAGCTTTCGAGTTCCCAAAATTAACTAAATGTTCGACTGGTGATATTGAGGTCATTGACGATGTCGGTATTAGCTCTGGAACGACTTTTGAACGAGATAACAACAACCATACGGACACATCTGACTTTCATATCAGCACTCCCCAGTATTCCCTAAAAAGCCTTTCGATTGCACCAGCTACAGGGCCTTTGCTTGAAAGCGTCATTACACATGCACCTTATCTCACATGCCTTACAATCTACAAAGGCAGTGAGCAAGCTTTAACTCGAGCCATCCCAAAGCTTTGTCCGTATCTTATCTCCTTGACTCTAAGATTGGATGGGTATAGATATGATGATCATGTTTGGGACCTTTTATTCCAGGGGCTTCCTCAGCTAAAGGAATTCAACATCACAGACGCAATTTTGTCGACTAACACTCTTATGGTCCTTACTCAGTTTTGCCCAAAGCTCGAGTCCTTTAATACGGACGATGACTGTAAGGTGTCATCTCCAGGCATCTCTTTTATGTTAAAGAAATGTCTTGCACTAAAAAAGCTCAGTCTGGATCAGAGCTACGGTGTCGATCTATTTAAGCCTATTACTATTGCTGCGCCTACAATCAACACTAATAGTAACAATAATGGCAGCGGTGCTATCGAGAAAATTGCTCAGTAACCGTGGAGAGCTCCTCTAGAGTCGCTCCGCATTGATATAATTATCCTGTATGGCGAGGAAGAAAACAACCTATTTCGAGAACGGATGCGACAGCTACTAAAACTTGAAAAGCTTGTCATCACATATGCGTTCAAGATGTCTGGGCGAGCATTTTTCATAGATAGCGCTACTACTATCACCGGAGACAATGGGAATGGTCTACATGTGAACCAAAAGACCGAAGCAGATGGGAAAGATGGCGGTAATAATGTTCTGTGCCGTGGCTATAGTTGCTGTTACCCAGATTTGGAATATTTAAATGTGGGGGGTTTCAGGGATGAACAAACAAAAATGCTTATCAAATTTGCGATAACCATGCCGCGATTGAATACTTTCAGGAAGAAATTGAGCAGATGCGAAAGAAGCATTTATGACGAGGATAAGGAGGACTATTGCCAGGACCTCTTTGGCATGAACGTTGAGATAAAAAAAATGATAATATACGAAATATGGTTTAGAGTAACTTCCTTAGTAAAAATGGCAAGTTATTATTGTTATTACTATCCTTAAAAGAGCTAATTGGGAGAGTATTGAGTTATAATCTAGCTTGTCTGGGAGTCAACACGATGCCTCAGTCTAACGGGCAAGCCATGAGCCATAGGCAAGGTCAATGATGGGTGGTAGGCAGGCTCCTTGTTAGGCTCCACCAGCTCGAATGTAAACTTTTGCATAAGCATCGACATGACTGTAATAGCCTCGATCGTTGCGAACTGTTGCCCCAAACTACATAAATAAATAAGGATAACGCGGTTATAATCATGATATTAGAAAATTGTAAATACATGATAAGACGGTTTAAAATGAAGTAAGGCAAGAGGAATTTTCCTTACCAAGTGCGAGGCCCCAGATGGAAGGCTACAAACTTTGCTTGTGAAGGCTTTTCTCCTGTGAGCCAGCGCTCGGGCTTATAATCGGAAGCATCAGGGCCCCAGATAGAAGTACTACGGCCCATAGCCCACGAGCTCCATGCAACTTTTTCGTTCTTGTAGACTTTGTATCCACCAGGCAAGACATCATCCTCGACACAGGTCTTGATGTTCTTGGGAACGGAAGGATAGAGCCTCAATGCTTCATGAAAACAAGATTCTGCGTACTTCTGCTGCTTCGTGGACTCATATGTAGGAGCCCCACCTTGAAGGATAGTGTCTGTCTCCTCTACCAACTTTTGAACGATATTCCTATTGGCTCCTTGACGGTGTATCAGATAAAAAGTCCAAGACAGTGCCTGTGCGGTGGTATCACGGCCTGCCAAGATAAAGTTGTTGAGGGTATCCTTCAACATTTCGTCTGTCAAAGGTTCGCCATTTTCATCTGCGGTTTCCATAAAGAGCTGCATCAGGTCCTTATGATCTTTTTGGTTGCCATGTTTACGACGGTGACGGATGACACGATATGCAAATTCATTGACGACCTTGGTATCCTTGTCCACTTGATCCAATTCGCCATTCCACCAATCCTTGAGCTTCCAGATAGGGATCATTAGACGTTCTGAGAGCGCATGATTTAGGCGATCGAAGGCCGCAGCAAATGGTACTTCATCGCCGGGTTTAGTGAGAGTCCCGAATGACTGGCCGAACGCGATCTCACCGAATGAATCTTGATAGCAAATGAATAAACATATAAACAAAACAAAACAAAAGCAAAAAAAAAAAAAAAAAAAAAAAAAATCAATGCTTCTATTCAAGTATAATAACAAGCTCGTCATCATGGAATTTTTCAGCATCGTAGTTGACTACTCACCCAAAGTATATTTATAGAACAAGTCTTGTAGGTCAACAACTTCACCGGAATCAGCCTTTTTGGAAAGGTAGTCTATGACCAACTGTGCCTCTTGAACAAAGACTGTGCTGGTGTAGTTACGGAATGCTTTGACGTTAAAGATATGACTTGCAACTTTTCGTTGCCATTTCCAGTGCTATTAAATATGCAAAATTGATGAAATACTGATTAGAGGCACTTATAGAAGGGATTATAGCCTCTAAGACGAGGAAGTGAAAGTCATTTTTACCTCGCCGTCTGCGCCAAAGATTCCTAATATGCCCAAAAAATGTAAAGATTAGATCAATTTATTTCTATACTCCAACACTTTATTTTATTTTATTTTATTTTTTTTACCTCCACCAACCAAGGGTTCCAACGCCATTCTCAGATGAGGACCCTTCTCATATGCCCAAAAGTTGACTCGCAGCACATGGTCAACCATCTCTGGATCCGCGATGTTCAACACACGACCAACACCTGGAACTGTCAAAGCATAGATTTTGCCATAGCGAGCATGATTGGCCGTCTGTCTCTGCAAAAGCTGGTTTCGGGGAAAGAAAATGACTTGAAGCAAATTTCCGATCAAGGGAACAGCGAGTGGGCCAGGAATATCAAACCGGCTGGGTAGGCCATAGACTGAGTTGCGGTATTTGAAGATGATGTAGAGTAAATAAGCGCCAATGGCCTTGGAGACATTGGATCGAGTCAAGAGCTGAGCTAGCAAGCGCTTGATCTGCGAGGTTTGAGTTAATGCAGTGGACATGACTAGAATAAATATACTGTGCCTTTGTATCTGTATAAATGAATATTGTGTATGAGATAAAAGAATGAGAAAGTAAAAAAAAAAGGCGAGCCGAGAAAGTGAACCGGCTGACTTTTTTGTCTGTTTCAGGAAATAAAGATATCAAGGATACTCCACGTTTTTTTTAAATCCGATAAAAGAAAATAGGTGAACAGAAGGGTTGAGTGCTGTGGAATAAACAAGACAAGATAGGAGAGAGATGTGCGTTTAAAGGATGTGTGCTTGGTTTATATATTAGTTGACAAGGCTCTGAGAGCCGACCCATGCGAAACGAAAATTTCGTATTCCGATCGATCACTTTGGCTTTATAAAGCATCATTGCCAGGTTTGTATAATATATAGTGCTGCCTTGACTTCGCAATGGCTCGCATCGCCCTGCTGCGTTGACTTCGCAAGCTCGCATCACCCTGAATGACTTCAACGAAAAAAAAAAAAAAAAAAAAAAAAAAAAAGCTTTCCTCATTTTAATAAGCTTGAATTGTCCAAAAAGGAAATCGTCCTTACACCGGGAAAAATTCAACCGCACTGTATCACTCAGGAAATATCTTATCCCATCGTTCCGTCATTTTGAGGTGTAGTTACAGCAGGTTTTTTTTTAAAAAAACTTGAATGTTGGACAAATGCAGTATTTGTTTTTTAACTGATCAAAGCAAATGCAAGATAATTTTTACCACGCTATCCTTACAACAGCGCCCTTGGAGAAAGGTTGGACAAACCTTCATCCTCCACAATATTAAACACAGTACGAAGAATAGATGATGAAGATGCACGACTGAAAGTAGATCCTGATATCGATAAGATACTCGTCCTTTAAACTCATCACATTCCATGACTAGAACAATTCACAGGGACGTTATTTAAAGTCTAATATACATACATGTATTAAAAAAAAAAAAAAAAAAAAAAGTGGCCATTTTCTAAAGTCCAGGTACGTAAAAGCGAACGAAGATTTAAAATACTGTTAATCAGGGACGCCATATGAAAGAGTCGCTATCCACTTGTAATGTGAGCTAAATGGGATCCCATATTTACTCTCGAAGCAAGCGAGAAAAGAAATGTCCAATGGTATTACCAAGAACTTTATACTCGGCATCAGATAAATTTTTATTTTCAACATTCCATCTCCCCACCCTGTTTTCCATGAAAAGTTGGACCCGCCACCCCAATTCTAGAGTGTATTACAAACACGTGCCGTCTTTTTTTCAGACTTTTCGTAGGTCAAATACGCGTCTACTAGGCAAAGCGTGAAATGTACCAAATGACTAACTTCTACAAGTAAAACGTTTTAATTCCTTATCTAGCATTTAACTGCTTTGCTTAGTAGCTCCTTGACTTTATTCTTTCATGAGAAACATGCAGAGATGGCCAAGGCACCGAAACCTTGACTGGCAACAAATGTTCTGATTTTCTGATTGGCTGATGAAGACAGAAAAAGGAAGGGTTTTCATCCGTGCATCTGAAAGATGCTGTCATTTGTAAAAAGATAACCAAAGGACACAAATCTTTGATCAAATGTGAATATGCCGAACAGTCTGTTTTCAGCATAAAAAGATGGATCTAATGACGACTGCGATGTGTCTGACAGTGAACATTAGCTGCAGAGGTCAGGTTAGGGTGCATGGGTCGCTTGCCGATGTTCTTGAATGAAACAAGTGTCCGAGAGTAGAAAAAGTGGTCCAGTGAGAAGGAAGATTAAAAGAGAGCAAAAAGAATTTTTAAGCTATCAGGCTAGCCTCGGGCAAAAAGATAGATGAAAAATAAGGATGCATGGCATGAATTCAAGGATCACTAAAGACTTAAAACAGCTCAATATCACTATCTCCATTCCTCTTAGCGACCCTTTTTAATTGTTTCTGTTTGTGTCTCTTTTTGGTGTCTGTTCCCCTGGCTCACAGAAACACTTGTTCTCTTTTCTTCTTTTTCCTCGTTTTCAACTATAGAACAGCATGAGCCTTAGCATAGACTGCATTCATCTGTATGTCCAGCATGTCTTGTTGTCGTATTGTCTTTTCTCTCCCCGTCTGTGTCTGAATATATGTGTTTCCGAATGTGTTGCTTCTAAACTGTTGCTTCACAACCTTGATCCATTTTCTTGACATCCCTCTGCCTTTCAAACACCTCAACAAGTAACAATAACAATACACCCTCCAAAGCAAAGCACACGGAGAGTGAGAGCGAGAGAAAAGACAGAGAGTTGTTTCCGATGGTTTCGCACAGGCTTCTGACAAAAGCTTCTTCATTCTCTCTCGTCAAGGATCGTTCATCATTTTTCTACATAAGGATCGCAGCTTCTTCTGCTTTCCTTCTCCTTCCCTCAACGCTTCTCCTGGGACGCAAACCCTAGCCCTTTTTTCTGTCTTTTTTATTGTACATACACACTCCATTAAAATAGAAATCGACCCTATATTCCTCACCACCCTTCTGATAGTCTCCTCTTTCCTGTATATATTTATTTCTCCTCATTTGCTTCCCATTTGCTTCTCATTTGCTCTTCATTGGCTCATTCAACATTTAGTTGCAATCTATTGAAGAGAAGAAAATTTAGACCCTGCAGTAAGTCAATGTGCTCCCAAAATAAATAGTCCGTGAGCACAAAATAAAAAGAAACTCATTGTTGATCTCTATCTTCATTGTCTTCAGTATGGTGTTAGAAAAACACACAAACGTGACCTGGTTCACTCCTTTGACAGCTATCACGACAAAGGCGAGTGCTTCGTTGAGGCTCAACAATGATTCCCTTCTTAATACTCCATATGAATCTGAGCCTTCCAATGGAATCTCAAAGTCAGTCATTGATCTGTCTAAAGATCTACACTGTCCTTCACAACAAAATCAGAGCCTGACTGTGTATGGCCCTGTGTTCAACGCCAATAATACACGAGCAGGACATACTATCGCCATGTGGCCTGTGTCTGAGTCTACGGCCACTTCCAATAGCCAGCAAGAATTAGCCTATCCCGACGATTCAATCCTGGTCCCAGTCAAAAAAAGATGCGGCTCTTACGCTTGCAAACCAGAAGACGAGAATTCGTTGTTATGTGACGAATCAAATGGCTCAAATGACTATGAATATGGCCACTATAATGTTTACAGTATGTACTCTGCTACAAATATACCTTTGGAGCTATTAAATAGCATCTTCTTAAACCTACTGTATGTCCCAAGCGACAACCTCAAACGACTGGCTGAAGAAAGGGATCGTGCCAGAGTCATGGCTGGCAAGCGATCTTACTGCCATACCGGGCTTATGTCGCTGTCACATCATCTCCAGCCGTACCTCATGGATATCGATTGGCCTCACAATGACTATATTGCTGCTAAATACACTAGGCAGGTGTTAAACGAGCAATACCCCCATCAATACCACTCATGCCAGTGCTATTCGCCCCATCAAAATGAGAATAGATTGTACAGCTGTACTTTTTATGACCACTACCATCAACAGCAGTTAACAAGTAATCAAAGCCCCTTTTGGCCTGCTCCATCCACCTCTGGTAAGGTGGACCTCCACGATCATGCCAATCAAGGGTTCGAATACGGCGACGAAGACTCCGAAGAGTATGAGGATTCGGAAACTCACAGCGGTGACGGAGCCAGTCAAAGTAGATCTCAGGACAAGGAGCCAACTCTAAATAACATGATGTCAGACCTTACTGTCGAGCATCAGAATAGTGTGGCTGGTTGGGAAACAGATCACAGCGAAGACAGCGATAGTCTTGGCTATTCGAGCTCAGAAAGCCAAAACACTCGATTTGAGCTCCAAAGGATAAGTTCAACTAGCTCTTACTCGAATGAATCCGAGCCTGAGGACAGCAGTAGAACTCCCAGTGAAGGTGGGAACACAACTGATACGGAAAGCTTTCTTTCGGATTCGTCAACAACTATTGCTAGTCCGTGCAGCAGTAGCAGTAATGCAGAAACAATCACACAAACCTACTATTCTCGTCGCATCCACGATAGTTCCTTCATTGGATCCGCTTTCTGTACAAATCTGCCATTCCTATCCGTACCTCATAGGCGAGGTATTAACAGAGTAGATGATGATCTAGGACAAGAAGAGATGATTTACCAGCTTCACCGTGACCAATACTTTCATCCCACAACACACACATCCTTGCGATCCGATCTATACATTTGTTCTCTAGTGAATCGTCAGTGGAGAATTGCAGCACTGCAGCTTCTTTGGCAGAGTATCGTTTTAGATTCGGAAAGCTGCCGCATAGAGCCCTCAGACCCCTGTTTCTGTTGCGGAACATTCGAACAATCAAGGTAATTTAAACAGATCATAAGCCGAAATGTAGTTTTTATGTCAGAATACCATACGCATTTTTAATGACTTTTTCAGTTGAGTGTATTCACTTTATGCACTGTTTCTTCCCTCTATATCTTAATATCCTTATCTTCCTAAACAGAGCTGCTCGGACGCGTCTCGAGGCAATGTTGGATAGTTATTTAGAAGTTTATAGCCTAGACCTTGCAAAGTGCGTTCAAACCGTAGAGCTTGATTTACGTGTGTTAATTGGAGGCTCACAGGTGGGGATCATAGCTCGTATTCTCAAGAGACTATCTCCATTTACGCATCTAAGGCTGATATGGACAGATATAGAGCCCCCAGAGGATGTAGCAAGGAAATTTGCTGGGACAATGACATCACTGAGTCCTCAAATTCGTCACGTACATTTTTCTGTCGGATTTGTGATTTCGAAAGTCTGGACGCGAGAGCTTGACAAAATGTTGAAGTTAACAACGATAACGCTAGAGGACCTAGGAAGTATGGATAGTATTGAGCACGACTGGTCTAGGATCGAACGTCTTAGGATGAATGCTGTAATCCCTTGTAATATCTTTGGATACCCTGCTACACCGGCACTTGACCCAGCACATCTGACCTACCACATAGCGACAAACGCAATTTCAGGGCAGGCGTGGGAGCTAAATGAAAACCAGGTAGCCTTTGCTGATGGGCACACGTCCAGCTCGGTAGCGCAACCCATAGGGCATCCGCAGCTTACAGAATCAGCTGTTTTGTCTTCTGGTTGGTGGCGATGGTCAAGCTTGCGCAAAATCGAGATCCAAATGCAGGATACTATCCTCCCGCGAGAATGGCTGCAAGATTTGACAGCTGTTATTGCGAAAAACTCTGCCGTTTTGAGGAAGAGACCACAACAAATTGTAGCTTCAGGCTTCGATGCTTTTACTATCGATTCGCAGATAGTCGCTGACCCGCAAATGGCTGCCACTACTTCTTTCACATCCCTAGGCCCACCATTGGAAGTCCTTAACATTGATTGTGAAGTCTCCCATCCACATAAGGATATCTTTTTTGATCTCATCCATGCTTGGGGAGATCAGCTCAAGGAATTCCACTTTACAAAAAGCGCTGAGCTGACGGATGACTTTTTCTTACTATGTCTCCAAAACATGATCAGAGTCAAAAAACTAAGTCTACGAGAATCCAGGGGCATCACAGGCGAAGGTTTCAATCCCATTAGTAGCTGTTGCAGTCCCGACGGCAGAGGCAGCAATAGTTTGTACACAATAATTTGCGATGACAAAAATAGCAATACCATTTCAGGCCGCGTACCCTTATTAGAGCCAACTATGGGTATGAACCAAGCGTACCTGCATAACTCCATGCACAAGCCAACTAAGACGTTTCAATGGCGACGCGACTTCCTGGAGCTTAATTTGGATCAATCGCGCGTCCGCAGCGATTTCTTAGACATGCTTAAGCTTCATTGCCCATGTGCACGATACACAGTCCGTGAAGTCCGCCACTATCTGTAGCGCTGATGTTCCAGTATGTACATGTACATTTTGTCCATAGTAATAAATGTTTCAAAAGCTGAAATATATGAGCTTTTCTGCTCCTTCTCTCAATTACCATTATTAAACCATCCAAAGTTGGTCTGTATTATTGCACTGATAGAATATCAGTTGTATCCAGTTCCCTTACCCCCTCCCCCACAAAAAAAAACAGACTTTTTTTTATCTCTCCTTTGATCCCCATGGTAGTCAAGGATAAGATAGTGCTCGAGAGTGGGCTCTTCTGGAAATTGGCGATCAAGCCCACACAATTCAAAGGATACTTCTGTGAGCCAGTAACTCGCCAATTTGAGTCAGAGTTGGAGCCATGTAACCGCCATGATTACCGTTGGAGATGCATTTTTACCGAGAACATGATTAACGGCAAGACCACCATTGATATTGTAATCCAGCCTGCCCAGGTCTCTTCGGCACAGTCGCAGAGAAGCCAGCAGCAGAGATCTGTCAACCATGAGTCTGACTCAAATGCAGTAATGAGTCAATCTGAAGGCGGTTGTTTGGGACAGGGAAGGGAGTCGCGTCAAGAAGCACAGTCGCAGCTGCGATTGCGAGAACATTTTGTTGCCAGAGGAACCGAATCGCTAGAGGCTAATGGTAACGCGCAACAGCCTTGCCAGCGCCCCGCAAAGATACACTCTGGCCCTATACAAGAAAACGAGCTACCTACGCCACCAAGGATTCGGTATTCTATCATAGCGATCCACACCCCTAAACAATGGGCACCTGCAATTTCTACAACTCTCAACCATACCACTGATGATGGCGCATCTATTCATGGCAAGTGCATCCACTCTCTCTTTTTTTTTTTTTTTTTTTTTTTTTTTTTTGCACAGCTGATCCTGATCTGCTGATCTGATAGGATGCATACAAAAAGGGTAGCCTATCAGTAAAGGATCTGATGGTTTGGTCCACAAACTGAGTGTGCTGCACAAAAGAGGCTCTATTTAAAAGACATGACTCCCCAAATACATATATACTGAGGCTCCTTCTTTTACTTTTATAGTTGGCCTTGATGCCGATGTAATTCTACACCGTGGTATGTATCATTTTGAAATCGTTTTTCTCGAAGACATTTCATCTTATCAAGTTCCAAGCCTTTGTTCATGCCATCGAATCCTGGACTCAATGTTCCATGAGGTCATCGCGGAGCCAATACCCGATACTACCGGCGCCGATATTTGGTTTGAATTTACTTCAGAGGATTTGGCTCGGAGCGGTCATGGTAATGATGATGATCGAGGCAGGAAGGCCACGACAGTTGTGGGTGCTCACATTAGCGTTCTCTCGCGGCACAAATATTTCGCTATGTGGATTGAGCGAGAAAGGGAGATGCAGAAACAGCGCCGACGCCAGGAACTGGATGAAGAGTGGCGCATACATCGAGAGAGTCAATGGCTCCTTGGACAGCATCGGCAGCATCGGCATCAGCAACAATCACCAAGATATGGCATAGATGATGAAGATGAATTAATACAACATGGATATTCTCTGCCGTATGGGGATCTAAAATATCAACAAACATTTCCAGCGCTCGAACAGACAACCCATATATCTTCATCTTTTCTCCCACATCCACAGTCGCGCTCATACATTAAGGAATCAAATGAGACTGAGGGTATAGACCGTAGGATTACGTATCCAAGTTTTACTCCGACAACCTTATCGCACATTCACACACAGCTGCTTCCAGCATTAAGGATTCCAGTCAAAGATATATCCTTGGGCACGTTTCAAGTCATTCTATATTTTATATATATGGGACGTATTGGCATTTCAAAACAACAGATAGCTGACATTGACTCTTACTGGAATGAAAACGCCGAGGAATATCGGCTTCCAGAAGAGGACAGTGACAATCTACAGAGTCTTTTGGAGAAGGGTTGGTCCGCATATCGCCAGTATGATGGATCCAAGGTTGAAGACCCTAGAGGCTATCCATGCTGGACCCCAATCAATCTGCCCCCACTTAAACCTTCGACAATAGCTGTAGAAGACTATTCCGACGGCGATGAAGTATTTGGTAAAGTTGCTGGTACTACTGATGACGATAACCGTTCAGGGGGGCGGACATTTACAGCGCCACTCTTTGCTGCGTCTGATGGGCCTGACTGTAGTACTAATAGGCAAGGCAATACTCCATGTGTCTATACCTTCCCATCCGCGTGGATGTTTTTGCCTTGGATCTCTTGTACTCGTGGAAAGCAGGTTTTTCTAGAAAATTTAGTTGATGAGCAATCAAGATCGCCCCAAGAGGGAAATCACCACTTTAATTTGCCTTCTACAACTTCACAATTGCTCCCTCAGCCTCTTCTTGCATCTCGTTCTGCGAGTTGTTCCTGGGAAGACCTTTTAATGGCCTCAACTCTTTATGAAATACAGGACCTTCGTGCGCTGGCCATTAAAGCGGTGGAATGTCATAGTCAGATGACACTAATTCAGGCATCGATCAGTAGCCATATGGCTGCAAAAGTAGCCCATAATGGCTTTGATGAGAGCACTTTGGATCTTCAGCTGGCTATATGCGAACAGAACTTACGTGCCTTCCTAAAACTCTATCGGTGTCCATTACTAAAGGCCAGTGGCGAGGGTCTAGCTTCCAGAACAGGGGAACCCCGTCATGCCATGTATCAGCGTGAGCAAGATTTAGATGGAGTCCAAGGGGAGATCCGCACAAGGCCATGGTGGGGAACACGAAAGGATCAGCAGCAAAGAAAAGATATGGAAAAAGGATCGGAGCAGGAGCAGCAGCAGCAGCAAGAACAGGTGAAAGAAAAAGGCCAAGAGTCAGAGTCAGAGTCAGAGTCAGAGTTAGGGACAGGAGAGCCAAAAGTCCGGGGTTTTAAAAATGAAAAAAGTGACCAAGTCGGACAAGATGAGCATCAACAACAACTGAGATCAGCACCTACGTTAGAGGCCATTGAAAAGGCGTTTGCGGCGCCGGAATGTGATGCAGCCATTGACGAGCTCTGTGAAGATATTCAAAGCCACTATCAGCCCTTGTATGATATTATGCAAATGCGATATTGCACTGGAACTGAGTAAAAATAAAAATTAGCATAGACACACATTAATGAGAGGCAACAAATAAAGGCACAGGACTTGTGTTCTTATCATGACATCTGTTTCCAGAGATGCTTTATTGATTAGTTTTTATTTATTTTTCACTTTTGCTAATTTTTTTGTTGTAGTATACATTTTTTTTTTTTGAATATCAGAAACAAAGGATGAAATGTTGTTCTCTCATCCATGGGACGTTTGACAAATGTAATGATGGTGATGATATGAACAGCAAGATAGAAAGAAGAGAGCAAGTTGTCATCGAGCAAGCATCAGTCCCAGGTTGAATTAATATGAGACTATGTTTATTGCTCACGGTCCGTCATTTGGTTTGGTTGCTGTTGCTGCTTAAGCTGTTGCTTCTTTTCCGCTGCTGCAATGCGATTGATCTCCTCCTCCAGTTTATCAATCTTAATCCATCCCACAGCCCCATCCTGAACTGGTTCAAGCATGACCCAGCCACTCTCTTGGCCAGTCGTATGCTCAATGCATGTCCATGGGAATACTTCATCCAATGACTCCTCGGTCCTTGTCAAAAGATCCTTGCGTACCACACCTGGTGGCAACTTCTTCTTCTTTGTCAAATTGCTGCTACTCAAATTGCTATTAGTGATTCCCGCTCCGGACGCGGGGTGATAAGACGTCGACACTCGATTTGCCTTCTTTGCTACGACTGGTTTTGGTTTCGATCCAAATAATCGGCTTTTCTTTTGTGACTTCGCAGCTGCTACCGCTGGATTGGGTAAAAAGCCCTTGGGGTCCCTATCTATGATAGGGTTTCGTATCAAAGACGAGGAAGACGAGGAAGACGATGAACCAGCATTACTCGCAGTTGTAATTTGTTTGCCAGATTTCATGATCTCCTTACCATCTGATGAGGTCGATCCTGTTGCTGACGGTGTTGCCGATAATCTGCCGGATATATTCTTCTGAGGCTTGCCTGGGTCTGACTTAACGTAAGGTGGAGGCGCCCTGTTAATAAACCCGTTATTGCTCTTACTGTGGTCCCAATCGGAAGGACGTGGGTAAGGCAACAGCTTTGGCGAGAGCGTCGATGTTGTTGAGACTGCACCCGTAATTGGAGACTTCGCCATGACTGGGGTCGTCGTCAAAGGTTTTGATGTCGAGGATCGTGCCTTTGGAGCCGTCGCATTCTGGCCGATATTCGAGAGCCTTGATTGCAGTACTGGCTGGGTAGACCCAGCAGAGAAGGATCCAGTTGCGATAATAGTCGCTTGGCCATTCCCATCGGTAGAGCCTGCTTTCAGAGCTGCTAACGCCTTGGGATCTTTGGCGAGGGCCATGAAGCTCTGCCTTGCTGCTTTCATTGCGGCTTCTCTCTGCGCACGGCTTGGGCCTGGATCTGTATCTCGACTATGCCCATGACCTACGATCGCCTCCGATGTATGGTCCCCTGATGTTGTCGTGTTCGTCCCAATTCTGGACATTCGTTTCTGGTGGAGACCCGTCAGATACTGTTCCGGCTCAGAGAAAAAATCTGATTTGAAACCTGATTCTGAAAACGAATCCCACTGTAACTGGTAATAGAGCTTACCATCCTTCAAAAGCGTAGCAGTCGAGAATCGGTACTCTCGTTCGCCAGCCTTCTTGGGATCTGTTGTTGAGGATTGGAGACCGTCCTTTTTGGAACTATCCTTTACAGATCCGCTATCATCTGTAGTATATGAACTCTCAGACAGGGTCCGTTCACTCGCACTCCGATGTGGGCTACGTTCGTCAGATGCTGTTACGGTCTTGCTTCTTCGACGCTGTTGCTTAGTATTGACATTACCGGGACTGGTTCCTTTGGGAGGACCAACTCCTAGATGATCTGTACTTGTCGCAGGGACTGGTAATGAATCTTGAGCTGCACGTCTCCAACTTCCTAAGGTGCTCGATCCAGAATTGGAGCGCGCATGAAGCATTGTAGCAGGCGCAGATGTAGGAGGCAGATTGTCCTCTGAACTGCCCGCATTGGATATGCCAGTATTGCCCAAAAAGCTGAGTTCAAGGCGGGGAGGCTGGATTGAAAATGATGGAGGTGGTGGGGGTGGTGGAGGTGGCGGGGAACCTCCTACGACTTGATTATTCGTCTTGGAAGATTTGAGCTGCTCCTCACTTGGCTTTGAGCGAAGCTTGTAAGAAAGCGCACGGATAAATCCCGCGGCCTTGGACTTGCTTTCAGAGCTATGTGAAGATGCTGAAGAGGATCCAACAACTTGTTGAAGAGGAGTTGTAGACGCCGAATGCTGATTGGGCTGGCTCCTACTATTAGATCGACTAACAGGCTGGGACTGTATTGGTGAAGAAGTACCGCTTTGACCACCCTTTGTGCTAGGAGACTTTTTATGAGTATCTTTATATTGGTATAGACCTTGAGTGTAGCCCGGAGGCGGAGAAATTGGCTGTTCAGAAAGGCTCTCTTGGAATTTGGATTTGTGGGGAAGAGGCGCGATGGGAGTAAAGTGTACGCTAACTTCGCCATCTTTGGGACGAGAGACAACTTCGGGCTTGTATTCATCACTGGATGATGAAGACTGGGAGATAATGGAGGCGTTTGAGGAATTGGGAGCAGATGTAAGCTCATTTGTATTTCCAACTGATAATTTCTTTGAGTGAAGGCCATCATTAGCCCCTAGCTTAGCATTCGTCTTTGCGGACTTGGCGATGGTTTTGGAATAGGATCGTCCAAGGCCCTGTGAAGCGCTCCTTGAAGGGATCGCAGGTCTTTCCAGATCCTGCGACGCTGATTCAAACGAAAAAGTGGAACTGGTAGGAGATGGAATACTCTGGTCTTCGTCATTTTTAACCTGCAACAACTGCGTACGAATATCCTCAGCAACCTGAGATCGCTCTGCCTGGACTGCCAGCTCTCGTGTAAGGATTTCCTGTCGGAGTTCATTTGGTTTCTTGTGTACTCGGCCATGCATAGTGTGTGGATCCAGTGAAACTGAACGGCGTAGAAGAGAGCTTCGTTTGGCACGTTGAGGGCTCATAGAAGGGGAGGCATGGTCCAGAACAATACGGACCTTTGCGCTTGCAGACTGCTGCGTTGAGGATAATGGGGACAAAAATGGAGACGAGCTAGCGTCAGTCTGGCCTTGCTGTAGGGCAGATGCTGAATTTGATGAACGCTTTGAGGGAACTCCCGAGATCATAGGTGATGGTGGGGCTTGTCCTACTTTGGTTGATGCGCTGTCAATGCTACTGATGCTGTTGGATCGATAGATACTCGTGCACTGTGAGGGAGATGAGGACGGCAACTCCTCTGCATGAAGGGCATCCATCTTTGTAAAGTCCCAATCTAGATCACCTGCAAAGTCCGGAGCAAGTCCTTCAAGAGATGGCTCTGGTTCTGATTCGTAACCATCTGTGGACGTATCAACAGGCAACATGTATAGACTCTCCACATCGCCCACGGAAGAACGACGACGATTCCTATCTGCGGGGCGCAACAACTGCGAGTTCCTTGATTGGCGGCGAAGATAACTTAAATGGGCCTGATCTTGCATAATCTCTTCGTATTCTTGGTCATAAAAGGGTAATTGTGTTATTGGTCCTGAGCGTGTCGAGTTGGACTTTGCTAGAGAATGCGGTGATGCGGATCGTGGAGTGGCTGCAGGGTCATAGACCCCGCTGCCAGAGCGATTAAGGGAGCCAGTGGTGGGTCCAACCTCATTCCTTTGGCGTGCGCTCTTCACCTTACGAGTGATATTATCAACATAACGGTTTTCGTCGATATCGTCTTCTTGTTCAATCTTTGCCAGGTCGTGAGTGGTTTTGATACGAAGGAAAGCACGAAGTAAGTCCTCACAGGCAGCACCCCACAAATTACGCTGCTGTAAAGATGCATCAAAAGTTGAAAACTGCTCTGGCTCGGCCATGATACTGAGCGAGATGGCCTTGGCAACGGTGACAAGTGTCATATTGTTGAGATGGGCGAGCAATGTGACATCTGCGCAAAGTGAGAAGAGGTCTAGTAGGATAGCACGATTGGTCGGCGGCAAGCCACGCACAAAGCAACTGAAGCTTCGGTCTAAAGAACAAAATAAAAATCTCTTTCATGAATCAATCACACTACGAGAACGAAGAGAAGAGCAACCTTTCATTCCTCCCGTTGGTCGCATTGACAGCACTCCTGCGTTGAACTAAGAAATTAAAAAAAAGCTTTGTCCTGACAGCAAATATCCGGGTGTTTATCCTTACCTTGATCAAGATAAAGTGTCTGATAATCTGTATATTTAACTAGGGTTTCTTCTGAGCTACGGATAGCCCATTTCATAGCATGAGCTACCAAATGAATGTCAACTCGATGTAGTGGCGAAAGCTCTGTGCTGGCATCATCGTCCAAGATCATCCGTATCGTATCCATGACCACTTTCTGATTGTAGCCCATCTGAACCTGGCGAAGGATCCCCTTCGTGGTCAGACCTAGATGGGTATTGAACAACCCATGTGAGGAAATGTATGAAAAAATGTGAGTTCGTCAGGCCATGAAGATTAAAATAAGAAATAAAAAAACTAAGTGAGTAACACTCACCTCGCTCGCGAATCTCTCTGACACAGCGCTTGACAACCACCAATGTCATTTCCATTGAGAGCTCTGTCAGGTCTCCGTCGTCTGTAAAGACCTTTGCCATCAGTGTCTTTTTTTGGACACTCTTTGCCCGTCGCAAGTTACCGTTGCTACTAGATGACCGTAAAAGTGTGCCTTGTCGTGAAATAGATGAATGAGATGAGCTAATGCCCTGAAATTCTATTGTCCTTCCATTTGGATTCCCATTGTTTGCTGTGCTGCTGCTGCTTCCGCTGGATGCAAGATTACTGTTTGCGCTGGTACTACTGCCGGTGCCTTTGAACTGCTCTCGTAAGTTCTTGGCACTAGAAACTAAGCGCAGAGACATGGTTGCTCAAAATGTGCTGGTTTATATACTGCTCCTTTTCTTGCTTTGCGTTGCTGTGCACAGTTGTTGTTGTTTGTGTTTTTTTTTTTATTCAGTGCAACTAAGCAGTTTGAATGCAGGGCTGGTTTCTTGTTCTCTTTCTTTTTTAGTTAAGGAAACTTGAAAGAAAGGAGAACTCTTGTCTTTGAAGCTCAAAGTTAAAAAAAAAAGAGAGAGAGAGAAAAAAAAGAAATAAAGATGAACCTGTTGAAGGAGCAGAAAAAAGAGTGGAAAAGGCGTAGGTAGGGGTGGGGATGAAGAGATGAAAAGGAAGGGTAAACAATAAAGAGGTTGGTTGAGTTTATGTTTGTCTGGTATAGATGGCACGCCAAGCAAGGTTAATAAGTGGGTGAAATTGAGCCGCGGAATGAGAGCATCAGATTTGACCAGACAGGGGACAACAACAAACGAAGTTAATAGATTAAAATAATTATTATATCGGGTCAGTTATCACATTAATCGGAGCAGCATGCCATTCAGAGCGAGCGGATCAAAATGACCCCCACATTGGATGACAAGACAGCCAAGGCAAGTCAAAGAGAGAGAGTGTGTGTTAGTTGGAATCAATAGTATATATAACAAATAAATTAATGATAAAAGGGGGTTCAAATCGGAAAAATAACCACAATGGTGAATGCGATGTGATTCGTGGTTAGTGGTTAATTGTCATTAGCATGGGATGGTTTTACAGACCCGACATGAGAACGCGGCAGAAAAGATTCATGGATTTAATCCGGTAAGAAAGAGGACAAAAAAAAAAAAAAATACGTGGTTAGCTGAAGGACAAAGTAATGTTCAAAGGATTAACAAAGGACTTCGGGTTGCAAATGACAGGCACACACATGCGCAAGGTTTTGTGGTCCAAGAATTGTCTGAATGAGAAATTGTTGAAAACGTGCAAAGTAGCTCGTCGTAAAAAATTGTGTGAAACAAGGAACATTGATTATGACCGAGAGAACCAAAACAAATCAGAGGCAAAGGGATGTGACACATGCGACGGATGGACTACATGCTGTTAATGTGTTACAAACTACACGTGTTTATAGATATGAACATGAATATGAAAATGAAAATGGAATCTGAACATGAAGAAATACTAAAAGACGATTCATGTCTCAATGGGTAAGCGAGTGAAAAAGGCTTTTCTTTAAAATTAGCAACAAATGAGGGTTTCGGAATGATCCTCCTTCAGGAAAAGTGCACCATGCTATTGATGGAACGATGGGATGCAAGTGACTAGTTAATTACCTTTCTTTCTTTTGTGTTATGCTCTATCAGCTACATGTAGAGGATTTGTTGGATCACCTCGATGTATCAATTGTTCGAAAGGGTACTATCGATACTGAATTGTCCAGAAATTTAGAAACATAATGATTAGCAAAAATGTCAGGGGTCAATAATGCTCAACAGTCTAGAATCATTACTCCAACGGCATAGAGGATCTCACAGTCGGATGAGAAGGAAAAAGTTATTCGTAGACAAATTTGAAGGGAAAATAAGCACAGACTGATGTTTTTCAGTGCACTGCTGAAGAATGTATATATGACAGTCGACGAACGACTATGCCTCTTGATCTGCCTGTACATGTTACTCAGGCAGGCGTTTAATACCTACAGTGATCTTGTTTTAGATCGTAACCTAACAGTCCTGCCAATGTTGGAGCAGGTAAAAAAGTTCGAATCGACACAAATCAAACTTGAAGTATATATTTCTACAATGGATAAATAAGTTGAAAAAGTGAGGATCATACAAAATGAAATGGGGTCAAGAAGAGGAAGTATTATTTATGAGCGAAATAAAAGAAAAATAAGATTTGCCATGCTCTCCTTTTTTCCTGTGGGCGAAAGGGTTGCAAATATTTACCCTTGCAATATCAGTTCTTCATGTTTACACAGCTCAACCAAACATTTTATTTCTCCAGAAAGGCTGAACGTCAATCTTTTTTTTTTTTTTTTTTTTGCGACTGAATTGTATTGATGAATAGGACCATCTGAATATGGAAACCCTGCTTTTGGTAAAAAAAAAAAATAAAAAAAAAAAAGTGTATATATATACAAGTGTGAGAATCTGGGGTCTAAATCTGTCTCCTTAAAAAGTAAAGATCACAAGAACTATACCGGCTCCCATGCCCATTTGCCAGTTGCTGCAATTTAGCCTCATCGCTCAAATGTATTTATAATATCACGTATTTTTGTATCCATCAGTTTCTCACAGCATTCAGTTGTGCTCTTTGATTTCAAATGGTCCCATACCAAAGATATTTTTGTTGCAGAGGACAAACAATCGCCACATGGCAGTTTTTCCTTTGTAATATAGCGATACAGAAATACAAGGCTACAAAGGTTTATTCCAGACAACAGAGATGTTGTGATCAACAAAGCTGTAGTCTGTTTTCCTTTTTATTTTTGGCTAGTTATAGACATAGAATAATTGAATGTTCAAATCTGAAACAACTTCAAACCTCATCCTGCCCTGCGGTCCTGCTTGTACATTCAGAAACTCTCCATCGACACAAAGACGACCCACCCCGGAAGATTCAAATTCAACAGCCTTAACTTTGTAGTACTCTACTTTTTCCATCTCAATATGCTTTCCTTCCTTGGCTGCAGCGCCCAGTATCTTCAAAATTTGAGTACGACCTACATTCTGGACAGCCAACACATCCAGCCATTCGTCAGACGTCCTTGCAAGTGGTGTCGGTTGAAACCCTGTCTCCAGTGAGCCCTGCTTTGTGAACATAAGATATGTAAATGGTCCTGATAGCGTCAATGAAGGCTCAGTTGAGACAACGCGGCTGTTAACATGGGTAGCTGAAGAAAATTCCTTTGAGGATCGATCGTATCGCTGAACAGGACCATAGAAATCCACACGCGCCCTGTACTGCTTTAGTATAACAATATTCTTGAGAGTGGCAACCTTAAATCGTTCATTACCTAGAAAACGAAATCCGTCGGCATCATGCACTGTTGCGCAATGGAGGCCGAAGCTGTTGACAACGACTGTGTACACATGAGGCTCCCAGCGGGGAGGTACGGACGAGAGTAAATGCCCATTGTTATTGTTCGCCGAATCCGTTTTTACAGCTTCATGTGCTTGCTTGGAGACTTGAATAACACGTAATGGTGTAGAATTACCAGCGAGGAACCGGTCGACCGCAGTTTGAACTGTAGTAATATTTAGACTTGTTGCGATAGCATTCCCTGTTCCTGTTGGTACCACCGAGAGTACTACCTTGGGTCTGAATACATCTGTGATCAATGGACTTTCTACCAAGCCAGTAAGGATACCATTCACTATCTCATGTACGGTCCCATCTCCGCCTAACACCATGATACGGAGCGTTGCACTCGAGGAGTGTACTGCTGATGAGGTAGCATGGACTTCTTCAGAACCACCAGTATGGGTGCTCCTAATGCCAAAAGATTGCGCAAGCTCAATAAGGATTTGTTGGATGTTCTCTTTAAAGTAGCTTTGGGCGTGACCATGATGGGTAGTTTCGATCAAGTAAAACGTAGTGCTTGACTGATCAAGTGCAGGCCGGACCACCTTATTAAACTGATCTTGACCCTGTTTTCGTCCTGCAAAGGGATTAAACACCACCAACAAGGGAAATTTGTCATATGTAAATAATATTCCCATAGTAATTGAAAGCAAGGTAGAAGACAAAAAAAAAAAAAAAAAAAAAGTGTGAATGTGTGATGTGAATGTGTGCGCTTTAGGGAAAGCGATGATGTTAAATGAGAAGAAACTGATGTGTAGATGCAATGAAATGTAATGAAAAGGGTGCAAATGCCTAGCTGGCAGATAGACCCTGTTTCAATCCAAAAATGATAAGAAAGCCGGTAATGGCTGTCAATATGCTGAATGCTCATGGAAACAGATATCGTTGTGCATCCTTGTTGTGATCATAGTCCTTCAATATGCAATATGCAGATCCTCTGTTTGATCAATCTGCAATATATGACTCCTTCATGCCCATTGTACCTTGTCTTCGGGATAGAAAAGAAACGTTCATTATTGATATGATAAAAATATACAAGGTTATCTCTGTTATGTTATATGTCAATGAATATATCCAGCGCTTTTTTCCTTCTATATGTTTAAATTTTAAGAAGGAGCTTTCCGGTGGTCTTGCGTCCTTCCAGATCATCATGAGCCTGCTTGACATCCTGGATAGGGTAAATCTTGTGGATTTCAAAGTTGAGCTTGCCCTCCGCCACTAATTTGAACAAGTCTGTGGTCAGAGCATCAAACTCTTCACGTGTTGTAATGTACTGGAACAAAGTTGGGCGCATCAGGCGGATGTTCTTCTCTGCTAGACGCATAATATTCACCGGTGGAACGGCACCACTCGCGTTTCCAAACGAAATGACTGTTCCAAGACGACGAACAGCCTTCAGACTCACGTCAAAGGTGGCAGCGCCCACACCATCAAGAACCACATGAACGCCCTTGTTATCCGTGAGCTCATTGACCTTTTCAATTAAAGCATCGTATCCATTTGAGTAGTCAACAACATAGTCAGCGCCATTTTCTTTCGCAAGTTTAGCCTTGGTCTCATTAGAGGTTGTGCCAATGACATTGGCTCCTAGAAGTTTGCACATCTGACAGAGAAGAAGGCCGACGCCACCGGCGGCAGCATGGATCAAGACCCAGTCGCCTTTCTCAACTTTATATGCCTGACGCACCAAGGACCAAGCTGTCAATCCCTGGATGAGAAGAGCTGCACCCTTTAAAAGCAAAATTCAAAATATCCGTTCAATCATAATTGAAAAGTATGAAATAAAAATGTGAGCATGTTTTTCATCATTTCCCACGGTTCAATGATGGAAAATTAAGATATTTTTTCCCATACCTGCTCCAGAGAGATATTATCGGGCAGCTTTGCCAAGGTGGTCGTAGAAACTGCATCATATTCAGCGTAACTTCCAGGGCCCAAGAATGCGACGCGGTCTCCAACCTTGAAGTCACCTTTGGCTTCAGGACCAACCTCGACGATCTTACCAGATCCCTCACGCCCAAGAATGAAGGGCATGGTCTGAGGGTAGAGTCCGCCACGTTGATAAGTGTCAATGAAGTTCACGCCAGCATACGAGACCTTGACAAGGACTTGATCGGGCTTCGGAGTGGGCTTGTTGACGGGTACCCACGCAAGGATAGAGCTGTCGCCATGTTTTGGAATCTGAACTGCATGCATGGACGTCGACATGGTGCGGATCAATAACCTGTAGCCAATGCGTGAAGAGATGGGAGAAATTAGACGTGAAGGTGGTGTACAAGTGACAGATGTAGTGAATGCTGCTGAGTAAGACGAGAAAGAAGAAGAAAGACAGAAATGTCGAAAGGAGCGGAGCATTATGCAATAGATCAAGCAGGCAAATGAGAAGTGAATGCTTTATTCAACTCTGACATTATTCAGGATGTTTGAAATTTTATGGACATCTAGCTAGAACTTTGAGATCTTAGATGAGGGGCATTCACAGCAAGCCACTCTATCGCTTCACCATTAAAGCATCCATCCATGCAGACCTCTTGAATATGCGGTACTGCCGCGATGAATTGACGTGTCTGATCCAGAGTCATTGGGGAAACCAAGCGTCCAATATTAATAAACTCCAACCTTGAAAAAAAAGGCTGTTGCTCTTGTTCTTGCCTGCACTCCAAAGTTGAGGCGACTAGTATCATTTCAACATGTATGTTGCTACCCCAGAGAGTCAACCGTTCCAAGTTGATCAATTGTCCAAGCCTTTTTCGAATTGCTGTATGGTCTTTGGGCTGTACATGAAGTCGATTCATACTCAACTCTCTCAGTGTCAATTTGCATGCCCACTCAAATTGTCCAGCGAATACCTCTGAAGACAGTTCAACTGCTGTTAGGTCCAGTACGACAAGATGAGAGTACGACCTGACTATCTCCTGTATGCCTCGATAGGTAACATAGGCGCTATGAAAAAGCGATAACTCCTTAACTCTACTACACAGTCGAGAGAGAGCACTCAGGGTTAGATCGTCCATACGTGATCCACCCACATGAAAACTTTGTAGATCCGGGAATGATCGGAAAAGAGCGATCCACAGGTCGTTCGACATGCTCTTCTGAGCTGCCAGCATTGTGAAGGAGGTCATGTCAGGACAATAAATAGGTAATGCATCAAAAATAACCCGGATGTCTTGCCCGGAGTAATGGCCACCTAGCTGGATGCTTCGTAATCGACACAATCCTTTTAAGGCGATCAGAAGATTAGGGATATCCATACAACAATGAGGTAGACGTAGGTCTTCCAGAGGATGCAAAAGATCACTAGAATCCCATTGAAGGGTTTCGTCCTTGCTTTCACTTTCAGTAAAGGAACTGGCATGTATTTTGAAGTTCATTCCACGTAACACTAACTTGTGACACTTGGGAAAAGCATCTAAAAATTCCTGAAGAGAAAAGTAAACCGTATTGTTGCCTTGCCATTGTGATGAGAGAGTAATTTCAAGTCTCTTCAGATGACTCCAAGAACCATATCCTAATTCGTTTGCCTGCAGGCTTTTGGTAATGAACTGCTGGCACTCTCGGCCTGTCAAATATAGCTCCAATGAGCGCAGTGCATGAAATACAGGGAGTGATGCTCCACTTGTAGTGCCATCAACAAAGACTCTGTTCTCCTCAGGAAGTGCACGATCAACGGCAGCTAGTGAGGTGACGTTGGGGCATAGTTGGTGGAGACGTGAGGGGAGGTCCTTATGGCCGATCCAGCCTGTTATTCGCACATCACGGATGAGATGACCATAGAGTGGAAGGACATTAAGGAAGGCATTGATCTGAGTGGACTGAGTAATCCGAACGTGGCGCCAGATATGGGAGAA